AAAATGCACCACATGTTAAAAAAAGATTGAAGACGTTTGGAAAACCAATCCCTCTACGTAATCCTTAATCCCTTCTCCACTGTTTTCGGTGTTATTTTATTTATATTATTTAAATATTTAGTCAGCGCTTCCGGTTCTTTGGACTCTTTTCCGGGGTGGGGGTAAATTCCCCTTCTGCGTTCTCTGGGAAATGGGAATCCTTCTTATATGGCCTTTAAAATTAATACAAGTTAAAAGTTTACATAAGAGCATATAAATTTAAGTACATCTGCAATGTTATTATTGGTAACATATACCATACATCAAACGTTTCTTAATCATATGTGATCATAATGTTTATAATGATTGTAAATATAATATATACGTATTTCGGTGCACTCACACCCATCTCTAAAAGTGTCCATAATACATAAAATTTTGAACTTTAACGAGTACTCTCAATCTAATATGATGATATGCCATAGAATCATAACAAATCAATCTATTACTCTAACCCTTTAACCTTCAATTTTGAATCCCAACGTAAAATCCCAAACTGTAAACCTAAACCCTAACCCTAAACCCCTAAATCCTACAAATTAAAGTAAATTTTAAATGATTTTTTTTTTCAAATTCACGTGCTTCTTGTTCATAATATCATAAGCAACAATTGATACCGTTTTGACATGAATCGCATGCTCAGAATGATGATTATGAGGCGGGTGCACTGAGTGCACCCAAAAAGTGGGTGCGCTGAATACGCCACCTTATTTTTATATATTTATTACTCAAGATGTATGGTGGTCTCATAGGCATCCAAGTTTCATGGCATATAATATAAATGCTCTATTAATTATGAATGTTTATAATGTTGCATGTATTCATAGTGTTGGCACGCACTATAAATTATCAACCATCTTTATTTTTAAAAATCAAGTCAAGACGTGAACCCTCGATCATTTGTTTCGTTTCTATATGCGTAATATAGTTTTGTTTTTAGTTAGGTATTATTCAAGAGATTTGAATTTGAACCTCTTCAAGAGCAATAGTATTACCACTAAACTAGACCCTTTTCATAACCCTCGACCATTTGTTGAGTGCATTCATTGGGATAACATACATAGTCATAATATTAACAAGACTTTATAAATTACCATGGACGGTATGATTCGAAATTGTAGAATTGAATCAAGATGAATTGGTATGTTAAATATTGCCATAGGACTCTGATTGGTTTAGTTAATAGAGAATAATCATGTATTAGGAAGTCAGTAGCTTAACTTAGAAACATGAATGTGTTCGATATTTGGTACAGATAATAACTTATATTCGGTCCAGATAGCAAAACCCTTCATTGAAGTTGCATGCAAAAGACAACAAAAAACTTTCATAATTATTTACAACAACATTAAAGATGATAATTTAAAAATAACTTAACCATACATAAAGATGTTTCTTTTTATTGCTTATCCATCTATCTCCGATAAATAGTGCAAAAAATTGTTCATCACGTATGATCGCACAAACAATAATTTACGGGCCAAATAAAATTCTTTATTCTCACCAAATAAATCAGTTAAAAAGTAAAAAAAAATTCTTTTAGTTCCTGCGGCCGCGTCTCCGAGGCACAAACAGTTACGCTTTTAAATTTTAATGAATTGTTCACAGGTTCCCATAAAAAAAAAATCTTACAATCTACCGGTACATCTATTTCACAACTGAATTCTTATTTGTAGCCCTAAGATTTTGAATTTATAGCCCTAAACTTACATACATGGACGATTTTACCCCTCATTTAACCTAAACCCTAAATTCACCCACCCAACCCTTCCCTGCCGTTCCCTTACCCTGTTCTCCCCCAAATCAACAAAACACAATCTCAACCCACACATACCCGCCGCCGCCCTCGCCATCTACCACCAAGACCCGCCGTCAACCAGAGCCGCCGCCCAGAGCTCCGCCGTCAACCAAACTCACCTCCACCACCAAGACCCGCTGCCGCCACCCAGACGCGAAGCACTGTCGCCGAGGAGAAGCCTCCAACCCGCTGTCGCCACCAAGACCCGCTGCCGCAACCCAGACCCGAAGCACTGTCGCCGAGGAGAAGCCTCCTGCTCAGACCCGCCGGAGACCCGAAGCACTGCAGCAACCCGCTGCTTCTGCTCAGACCCGAAGCACTGCCGCAACCCGCTGCTTCTGCTCAGACCCACCGGAGGTAAATCTCTCTCTCCCTCCCTTCTCTTTTGGTTGAGTTGCGCCGACTATACGGGTTGAAAACCGTCGCCAGTGGCTAGAGGCGTTCGATTTGGCCGGGGTAGACGCAGCCAGGGCGTTCGATTTGGCCGGGGTAGACGCAGGCAGGGCACCCGCGCGGATCCGGCGGAGCCAGGTAGCCCACTTGCCCCGACCCTGGTCCGACCTTTTTTCCGACCCGCCCTGACCCTGGTCCGACCCATTTTCCGACAAGCCCTGACCCTGGTCCGACATATTTTTCGACCCGCCCTGACCCTGGTCCGACCCATTTTCTGACCCGCCCGACCCGTTTTTATTTTTTTTTTCAATTAAAATGAAAATGTTAATGATTAGAATGTTCATTTTAATTAATAATATATAAATTTGAATGGTAAGTTATAATCAGTATATGTTAATCATGGGCTGCTTCTAGGATATGGAGAATAACCCATTTGGATATGTTGCATCGACCTATGAGGCTTTTGCATTCTGCTATCTTCTGGTGCTGGGAGCTTAAATATCATTTTGTCTTTTGTCTCTAGGAGGAAGGTGAAGTAAGGCCAATAATGTACAGCCCTCATTTTTCGAGGGAGCTTTGAGTTTAAAGTTTTCGTTTGCACTAATTAGCTCTAATGGAGGAACTGGAGTTGGAAATGAACTATGTGGACATCGTACTCTTTGGGTGAAATCTCTTACTTTGCGTTTGCTTTGCTTAGTCGGACTTGAAATTGAGAACAAGGGAGATAGGGAAGGGTTTAGGGGAAGGAAGGAGATCAGAGGAAAATGGAAACCGGATAAATATGTTGCAGGGCCACCAAATTTTGTTATATTTCTGCTTATTTCACTTAGAATTATAGGTTTGTGGTTAGTTGGTTATTGGAGAATTTGAATATCGCTTAGGCTCATTGTTTGTTTGGATATTATCCAATGTCTTAGTTGGCCATCTCAGTAGCCCGATGAAAGTAATCAAATTTTATTTTCTTGATAGCAGGCAAAAATGAGCGAAAGAAGGGGCAAGGAAAAATCGAGGGTTCTCGGACGCAACGTTACAGTATCTGAGCGGAAAAAACGTCAGGAGGAGTCAGATAGACTTCGTGAGGAGGAGCGTCAGGAGAAGCTTTCGCGTCGTCAAGCTGCAGTGGTTCCTCCCCCTCATAGCCATGTTTCCCAGCCGCTACCAGGCATCAACACATATGATGACATGGTGGAGGATGACGATAGCAGTGATGATGAGTGTGATGTGGAGGGTGATGATGAGTTGTCTTTTCATGAGTTGAATATTTCTTAAGATTGATGTTGAATATTTCTTAAGGTACATTTGGATGTGTTTATATACTAATTAAAATTTTTAACCACTACTTATATATCTAACAAAAACACAACAAACAACAATTTTTAATGATCACACAAAATTACTTGCACCATCGGGCGAGTAGGGAATATGGCTCAACAAGCGGTCAGAAGGGTAGAAAATATGGCTCGACCTCCGGGAGGGCGGGTAGGATATATGCCCACACCTCCAGGAAGGCGGGTTCACAACATGCTTTGTCCACGGCTTGTGCTGGAAGGGTATATTCCTGCACCATCCATCAGGTGGGTGTGCAACATGCTCAACCCACGGTGAAGATGGGTAGGTGAAATGTTTGGTCCGTGGTGCAGGCAGGTTTTCAACCCGCCTAGTCTATTTTTTCAGCAACAATAATTGTGGACACAATTGATTAATTTCAACTAAATCCACATAAATTTGAACACAAAATCATTTAACACAATAATTCCTGCTCCCGTTGGTATAACTCATCCCAATGCGGAATTGTGCTCATATTCCGAAAATGAGTCCATTGTGGACTAAAATATGGCATTGGTGTCACCCCATCGACATTGTCGAGAACTAGTCGGACCCAATGAGCCCCAATAAAGACCATTGGCAGAACATAACTGGGATGAGTGAACCCTGGCGGTGCCATCATAGGTAAGGCGGTGTACCCATACGTGCGCTCTCGCTCCCCCTGCACTCCATATACAACAATTGCCCAGTTGTACATTGTTGCGTATGCCAACAAATCCACCTCCTCAAACCAATACTCTCTGTCGCACCTCCCAGCGGTCTGGCAATTCAACCTGTGAAGTACTTGCTCCAACGTTACATCTCTAGATTGGTAAGCTCCCTTGTATATATCCCACTGATTTTGTACTTCTATGATAAGATCTTGTCTCATTTGCATGTAGTGTCCCTCGTCTCCATGAATCGCATGTGACATGGCCCGAAAACCACAATGCCCATCTGGTTCTGGGTCAAACCAACCTCTAACAAGAGGATGCATGCTAGGTGGGACCCAACGGAGGTAAGGACAAACATTTCTCTCACTATGAACTTGCATATCTTGACTTTTCCGCATGCGTGCAGCATATTGTAGAAAATAATTAATATTACGGTTACAAAACAAGAAATATTACTATGAAAACATATTCCAATAATGCTAACCTGCAGTGGGCCTCCGGTTTTGAGGTGTTCTGCTCCTCGATGTCCTCGTACTCTAATTTGTTCTGCTCGTCTGTGTTGACCTTGCCCTCTCATGCTCAAACCAGGAAGGATCTCGAGTGTTGCTCTTCCTAGGTGGTCGTCCCTTTGGAGCCTCTAACTCCTTAGGCTCTTGTAGGCCTTCAACTTGTGGAAGAATATGAGGGCGTAGTACTTGAGTTTTCTTTCGGATAGCAGCTGGCCCTTGCTTGTACACATCTTGTACCATGGCTGTAAAAATGTCACGCTCAATGGCATCGTGATCTTCCCATTATGCAAGATCGGGAGGACTCTCATACACCAAAGATGACCAGAATGGATGTAAGTGATGGTGGTGCAACTCCACGCCAGCAACACTCAATTCATCCATCTTACATTTACATGGTAGGCCATGTGTTTCATGTATCCGACATCCACATCCCTGAACAATTTTCCTCTCTCGTTCTTCCATCAGTAACTCAACTTCCCACAAGCTCACTGTAGTATTCAGGTTAACATATGGCGGTCCATAGGCTAATGCAAACACCTATTCCAAAATCATGAATTTCTAATAAAAAATCAAATTGAGGATATAGGGAAATGCCAAATTAAATAAGCAAAAACGAGAATACCTTGAAAAGTGAATCCTCCAAGTCCTTCCTCAATTCAATCACCCTTCCGTTGACGGATGTGTGAAACCTGAGGAAGAGTGTATCGATCTTGTGGGTCGAAGTGGCAAGCCATTTCTTCAAGGAGGAATGCATCGACTCTACCCTATTTGTGCTCGTGTTACCGATATGAAAGATGCGATTGGTGTAGCAATTTGCCCACCTTTCCCTGCATGGCAACCACTCACCTCTCAAGTAGTCCATTAACTTGTTGTTTGAACCCCAATGACTATTTTGCAACTCTAGCCAACGACGTTGGAACCCTGCCCCAGTATTAGCTCGCAAGACTCTCTCCCATAGACTTCCTACAAATAACTCAGCAGAATCACGACCAATCCCCAACTGCATCATTTTGGCTTCAATGTTCTTTTTCATGTGCCACACACATAGTAAATGAGCTGAAGATGGAAAGATCTGTTGCAAAGAGACACCCAATCCTCCCGCCTTGTCTGTGACGAACGCAACCGGGGTTCGATCACCAAGCACAATCTTCAATTGCATCAAAACCCAAGCATATGTCTTCTTCGTCTCATCTGAAATCAATGCGAACCCAATGTTGAAGTTCTTCTTCACCGGACTAACACCAATCAACTGAACCAGTGGCTGCTTATACTTGTTAGTCTTGTACGCCGAGTCTATCAAAACAACAAAATACCATGCCAACAACATCCGAATCGACTCGGGATGGCATAGGAAGAGTCTAGTAACACGACGTTGATCATCAAATTCACACTCAATAAAGTAGCCAAGACGTTGAGCTTCTATCAATGTCCACCGCATAGGTTTCAACCCACCCAATCTCTCACGCCTAATTTTTGCTGTCTCATTATAAATCTGAGTCATGTTGTGATGAGCATCGTACTTCATATTGAGCAAACTTCTGATATCTTTCGCCTGAGTATGTGTTGCCTCCAACTCCTTAATATTCATTTTTTCCACCTGCGAAAGAGCGTTCTTTTGCCTGCTTCCCTCAGAGAAAACCTCCAATCTGTGACTGGGAAATCCCCTCTACTTAATCCCATGAATTCTCCACTTACACTTGCCATCTATTTTTACGGATTGCACCACCACTCGGAAACGACAACCTAACTTGCCTGTTGTAGATTTGCTCCGTGTTGTCTTTGCGGGATCTGACGTATATGAGTTGCTCCTACTACCATGGCTGCAATCCATATAGATCCGCGATTGTCTTCTCCAACGTTTCTCTTGACTGATGCCACTATCAAGGAAAAGCTATTACTCATGGCAATCTCCTTTGCCGCTTTACAAGCTTGATCATGGGTATCATAAACATCACTTAGAAACAATGATGTGCAATCAACATTGTCACTCTCATTAACTCCGGATCCACCCTACAAGAAATACAAGGTAAAAACATTTAGTTGTGCAACAATTATGTTACGATAATTAAATTATAAAAATAAATACTTACCGAATCATCCATAATAGTTTCCTTGTTAGTAAGTGATGGTGGCACAAGATTTTTATCCTCCTTCCTAATAAACACAATTAACAACGAAACTTAATGAACATAAATATTATAATTTATGTGAATTTTCATTAAAAAAGGTCCATGACATCACAAAATTAACTCGAGCATGTTAAAAACTAGACCCGACCGAGTGACGGGCATGTTAAAAACAAGAAAGAACCGTGGGTCGAGCATATTGAAAACATGCCTAAACATGAGGAAGAGCATGTTGAAAACATGCCTAGACAGGAGGACGAGCATGTTGCGAGCATTCCTGGAGGATGGAACGGGCAGGTGGACAACGCGTCCGTTCCATGGCTGATGCAGGGTTTCAACATGCTTGACCACCGGTCGAGGCAGATTTTCAACATGCTCGACTTGTTTTCCAGAAGAAAAAAAAATGCAAACGGAATCTTACCTTTAGTCCGAGTTCCTGCATGCTATGACGATCGAGACCTACTACTTCTCTACCTCCGGCAAACTCGCCGGAATCAGGCGAAAATTTATCAATGTAGAAGATTGTAGTTGGATTTTGTGTTGTGTGGTTTGGTTTTAATTTTTGGTTTGATATTTCTGTTTTCTGTTGGAAGAAAGAGTTAAATGGGTTGGGTTAGATGGTTGGAGCATTAATTCTAGGTGGTTGAACCATACAATTAAATAAATGGTTGTTTTGTAAATTTGTATGGTTTAGGGCGACAAAATTTAAAAATTTAGGGTGACGAATAGTAACACTCTTTCACAATCACAAAATTCCAATCGACTATTGGAAAAATATTGATAGCGTACTGAAGAAGTGGAGTCGCGTGTCCTGAGCTCGCTGAGATCCCTGGTTTAGGGTTTATCTGCCCGTCCTCATTCCCGCTTCTTCCCTCTTCCAATCTCGCCCCAGAGAAGTAGCTGCCGACCAGGTAACTGCTGCTAACATTCCAACCGCTCTATTTCGAAGTCGAGGTTTCTCTTAGTGCTGGCTAATTTGGATTGCCCGTCTTCGAATTGGAAGGGTACGAAACCGTAGTCGGAGCTTCTGGTCTGTTTCATCCTGTTGGACACGAATTAACCGTCGGCTGAGCCATCGTTTCTGCTCCCGCTTTACCAACGCTCAGAGTTCCCACTGTCTGACACGAAACTTTTCTGGTACTGCTTTTACTTCACGCCTTTGCCTCTTGATGGTTTTCGAATTTCGAGTGATCAGACTGTCAAAGCTCTTCAGTTGTTTGGTTTTTCTCAAGTTGCGTTACTGATCGACCTTGTAGCTAAGAGACTACAATTCAAGTGAGAAGAATGCATAGCCGCATAGGTAAGTGGCATGAAGAACCATTCTTCTGATGTTATGAATGGTCACCTCACTGTCAAAACATTCCATGGCATTGATGATATGCCAAAGGAATCAGAAGGAAGATTGTGAATCATGCTTCTGTGTTGTGAGCTGGTGATGCAGTACATAAAATTGATTGAACTTGAGGAACCTTATTTCCAATATCTCATTTATCCTTTTTTCCCCCTTCTTCCATTAACCTTGTTAAATTGTTCTTTGTTTGTTTCCGCAGTTGCTGCATGACCATTTGCTAACGGATCTGAACGATTCCTCCCCAAGATACCAAGTATGTAACTTCTAATCTTCTACCATCGATTTTTCATTTTTTTCATAAGCTATGGAAGGAGAAGTGTGAAGATGTTAATGCATCCCTAGTTCCTTCGTCCTACTAGCAATAGCAAATATTGTGAATCCTAATTTCTCAATGGAACATCCATGTCAATCGTTGGTCCACATGGTTCAAGCTGTGAGCTAGGCAGAAATGGAACACTAGAGATGATCAAATACTATACAATGAGGATATTGTTAGCGTGTTTAGTTTCATGTCTCGCCCCTCTTTGCTACTGTTTTCACTTTCTCAATCAACCTCCCCCCTCCCTGTTTATCAAGGCCCTATGATGGTAATCTAGATGAGATTATACCCAATATTGATCCGCTCACTCGGACTAGGCTTAGACAAATTGCTTATGTTGTAAAAAACGCTGTCAAATAGTTGTCAATCCCTAAACAAAGATGCTGACTTTCAGAATTGGGGATTTCCTACAACAATCCTTGTCCAACAAGGATTTGGTGGAGATGCTCAATTGCTGTCCATGTTGGTTTAGGAGTCTTTTATTACATTTACTTTATTTATTTTTTGAAGTATGAGTGTTATTTGTTTCTTAGTAGTAGACTAATTAATTTTCAGTTTCCTAGGTGTAGAAGGAAGTCTTTTCTTTTTGGTTAGCCTCTCTATAAATACAAGGCTTGTAGTTCAGTTTTATGCATCAAGTATTTTGAATTAGAGTTTTCAAGAGTTGCAAGAAATATTATTTTTTTGTTATTGCTTTTTGTAATTTTCAGATGGAATGGTCCGAGTGTAAAAACGAAATTAGAGATGCCTGTTTGGAGATCCAGCAGCTTCAGTCCGACGTGGCTCACGAGTTTCAGCGACTCCAGCTGGATTTCACTGATACCCATTCGCTTCAAGAAGAAGAACTGCGCAAGCTAGATGAAATGAAGGCTAGAATTGAAAATTTGAAGTCAGCTAGTGGTGCTATTGTAGACTCGTTCATACGAATTCGACCTGATGTCCAAACTGTAATTGACATTGATTCCGCCAATGGAGTCGAAAGCAGCTTTAAGAGTGTCTTGAGAGATAGATGAAAGGGTAACAGGGCTCAAATCCTCTGTTGTAGGCTGATCTGATTACAAAGTTGTGTCTCGGATGACAGATTCTCTTAATATTTAAAATTCAAGAAGACAATCCAGTTCTTGCGGAAAGTCATTCGTTTAATCGTTTTCGTTATTTATGTTTGTTAATTAGTTATGTTTTGTGTAAAATTAGCTCCAATACTTATTTCTAGGCGGGAGATCTTGTAATCACTGATCAACATTCGATATTTTGATTATTTCATTCGGGTAACTGTATGTACTAAAAAGTTCACGTTTGGTCACTGAAAATATTTAATTTCATTCGTGATCTATGGTTCAAGTTTGGTCACTCCTTGTTAGTATCCGTTAACTTTAATTTATGTGGCAGTCAACTCTTGTATTTCACCGTTAGATATGTGGTGTGATAGTAAAAAATAATATAAAATTAATTTTTTATTTTCCACATCAGCACAAATATTAAAAATAAAAAAATATACTTCTTTTAATTTTCCTCCACCACCAGTACAAACTAGGATTAATGACACAAATATTGTTTTTTTTTAATTTACCACGAATATGGCCAGTTAAAAACTATTTACACAGATATTGTGTTTTTTAGTAAGGATTGGGGCGGGGCCACCTGAGACTCAGGCGGGGCTGATATTTGCCCAGTCCTGGGCGCTGGCGCCCGAGACTCAGGCGGTAGCGCCCCAGCCCCTTTTTTTTTAAATACGTCGGGGTCCCACCTTATCCCCTCCCACCTTATCCCCTCCCACACCACATATCTCCCTCCTCCTCTCTTCTTCTTCCTCCCCCAACCCCGAACGAACCCTTTTCTTCCTCCCCCCAACCCCGACCGAACCAGAGAAGCAGCCACCTCCCGCCAACCGCTGCCGCCGAAGACTAAGGCGCCGCCGCTGCAGACTCAGGCGCCACCGCCGAGGACACGAGCGCCGCCGCTGCCAACTGGAGCGTCGCCGCCTTTGACAGAGGGAGAGGTCGGCGAGGTCGTGGTGGAGTCGGCGGCCGTTTGCGCGGTGAGACTCTCGTCGGCAGCTTGATTTTTTTTTTAATGTTTTGTGTTTTTTTTAATGTTTTGTTGCTTTGTTTTGGCAGTTCCTAGGCTTATGGATCCTTATTCGATGAGATTACCGCCGACGACAATTGATCCAAGTCCGGTCGATTCGACACTTCTTTGGGGACATGGCCAACATCGTATCGACTCTGTTTGGACAAACGAGGTAAGTATTTGATAATTATTCATGTAAAGTTAATTAGCTAATTAGATTATTTTAGGTTGTGAACTGAACTGTTAGGTGAAATTAGTATAATTTTATGTTAGATAAGACATATTAGAATTTATTAGGTGAAATTAGAATTATTACGAATGAAAATGAATTAATATAAGTTTTGTGCACTATAGGCTGGTGATCGATCTTACCATGTTCGAGGTACGACCGTTTTAGTACCTTATCATGAGCTTTATCGGCCGTATCTCGAAGCGGCAGGCTTGTTAAGTGTCGTGCCCCTAGTCCCTATGAACTCCGATGCGAGTTTGATTACTGCGCTCGTAGAGCGGTGGCGCCCCGAGACGTCGACCTTCCATCTACCGTGTGGTGAGATCACGATCACGTTAGAGGACGTTGTTACACTGTCCGGTCTGGCGATCGACGGTGATGCCGTCGTAGTTGATATACCGGATGAGGAGTGGGTGGCGATCTGCTTGAGACTGTTAGGACGGGTTCCCGTCGATCTTGTAGGCAGTGTCGCTGTTGTTAGGATTGTTTGGCTGAGGGTTGAATTCAATCATCTGCCGGAGAATGCATCACAAGAGGTTATAGAGCAGTTTGCACGAGCTTATGCTCTATCTCTGTTTGGAGGTGTACTTTTCCCGGATCGGTCTGGAGGTACGGTGCACCTACAGTACCTACTGCTGATTGAGGATTGGGAGAGAGCTGGACGATTCGCCTGGGCAGCTGCTGTTTTATCCTACCTGTACCGTGAGATGGGTAGGTCGACACTGCACATTTCGCATACCGGCACTTCTCTTAGCGGGGACCTTGGTGGATGGGTCGCTCTACTGCAGTTTTGGGCGCTTTCTGCCATGTTGGATGTCAGGATAGACCAACGACCCCCACCATTGTAGTTATCATGTGCTAAACTCCAACGAATCTGATGTTGATCCACCCAGTTACCACATGAAATATTTCTATCAGCGGCCACCTTCTTAAATTGCTCAACTTGACGATCAAACTTCTCCAACCGTTTTTCTCCGGCTAACAAAATAAACCACAACACGTGTTAGATAAATTCATGACAAAATTACATGAAAACAAATAACAAAATTAAATGAAGAAAGCTTACCGACTCGAAATAGTTGATTATACATAATTTTGCTTTTAGTCTTCCTTTGCAAATTGCTTGCATAGTGTCGCATGCACCACCTCCACTCCCAACCTCTTCCGATGTTATTCATGGCTTCATAGAGTCCTGCATGTCTATCTGAGATGATGCATACATCATTTCGATCAGTCAAACCCTGAACCTTCCTCATGAACCATGGCCAACTCTCAGTATTCTCGCTCTCCACTATGGCAAATGCAATTGGAAAAATCTTCCTCTGGCCATCAAATGAGCTCGCCATGAGTAGCACTCCTTTATACTTCCCAGTAAGAAATGTTCCATCCACAACCATGACACCTGGACAATTCTTGAATCCATCTATACAAGGTCCATAAGACCAGAATACTCGCTGAAATATTGAATGACCTGGTTGAGCCGAAGGAACTCTTACCCAATCAATCACCGATGTTGGCATTTTTCTCTTGACCACCCGCAAGAATGTTTGCAAAAAATCGTAGGATTCTTCCCAATTTCCATGCAACTTCTCCAATGCTCTTTGTTTCCCATACCAAGCCTTCTTGTAAGTAACTTGCATATTAAACTTGTCTTTCAACTCGGCTTGAACAGTTAGAACACTCAGATTTGGTTGGGCACGTACCAAATGTTTGACGGCCTCAGATATCATGTCGACATCAAGATGGCGATGATCCGTCGGTTGAGTCGTACTGCTACAAGAATGCACCAACTCAGCTTTTCTCACAGTCCATTCGCCCCCAACATCTCGACATCCAAACCGCACCATCCAAGGACAATTGTCATCCTTGTGCCTCAAGCATCTGACCTTCCATATTGAAGGTGACGACTCCACCACGCCATATTGAAAGTTGCGTTGTAGTGCGTGGTGTTTAATCGCCATCTGTGCAGCTTGTTTCGAGTGAAATATCTGCCCCTTGTAGAATTCTCCTTCAAAACTATCAACAATAGGCATTGGAATTACGCCATATGAATCAGCAAGTGAAAATTCTTCGTCCTCTTCATTACCCTGCAAGTAAAATATGGAGGATAATTAAGCTGCTCTCCTTCCTCCTCCTCCTCCTCCTCCTCCTCCTCCTCCTCCTCCTCCTCATCTTCCTCCTCTCCGTCATCACCGTGATCATAGTCATGATCGGATGGCACGCTCCATGTATCATCTTCTTCCTCTCCACCCTGATCATCACTGAGCTCAACATGTATCTCAGCACCCAAACAATAAGGATTTTGTGCCATAAAATTCCAAAGCACATCCAAGCTATCATCATCCACAATAGGTAACGCATAATGAAATAAAACATCATTCTGCCATTCTGGAAGACGGTAAGTTAAACCTGTGATCGCATCACTATCTTTTACTGCTTCGTCTCTGCGCCGTATTCTCGGAATTAGAGTCTCACAAAGTTTGTGATATGTGACTCTGGATGGAACCGTCAACTGAAAACTACTACCACCAACGAATTTGACGCCCAAATTATCCTCTACTTTCTCCGATTTCCACCGAACAACTAGTTCAAATCTTCTAAAATCACTACAAAAAAACAAACTCACTAATTAAAAACTAAACACAATCATAATAGCATTTGAATAATATAATTACAAAAATAAATGTGTCTCTTACCTATTAGCCATTTTTGCAGCAGCAACCAGAGCTCTCTCCTCTATTTTGGACGATTTTTTTTGTGGTGTGAATCTGAAACGAAATAGTCTGGGTTTTATATAGGTGGGTGGCGAATCCACCTACTCGCCTGAGTCTCGGGCGCCACCGCCTGAGTCTTGATTTCCCACCTACTCGCTTCAGTCTCGGGCGCCGCCGCCTGAGTCTCGGGCGCCACCGCCTGAGTCTTGAGCGCCGCCGCTGCCAACTAAATAAAACGGTCCAAAAACCAAGCTGAAGCGGCAGCGCCTGAGTCTCAGGTGTCCCCGCCGATTCTTATCTCTAAAACACAATATCTTTGTCAATAATTTTTAACTGGCCTTATTCGTGGTAAATTAAAAAAAAAACAATATTTCTGTCATTAACCCTACAAACTACAAATATACTTCTCTTTTTCAGCCACTGCTCGGAACAGAGGCCCGGCACGAAGTAGAGCGCCGTCCGGCCGGCCAGGTCCGCAGCCCAAACGTCTCGGGTGTCGCAGCCGTCATATTCGAGGGTGGAACTGCTCGGAATCGAGGCCCGACACGAAGTGAAGCGCCGTCCGGCCCGCCAAGTCCACAACCCAGACGTTTCGGCCGTGGGATTCGAGGATGGATTGGAGGGCCGACGATGGTGGCGGATTCGTACTAGGCGACAATGTTCTTGGATTCGAGAAGGATGATGGCGGCGGTCGAATTCGTACTCGGCGGCAACGTTCTTGGCGATCTAGTCGGAGAGGACCCAGGAGGGTCCGTGACCGTCTTTCCATTGGATTAAGTACCCCATCCCGACGCCGCCCTCGAGACCTCTGCTTCCGTCGACTTCGCCGTTGTCGTCCTCGCCTTGGATTGGTTGCTGGGTTCTCCCCACTTGTGAGTTTGAGCAAAGGTTGAGAGAAGACTAATTCAGCTCTTTGATAAGACTTGACCGCCCAAAAGCATTTAGTCGGGATTGTGTTCTATGTTTCTCGGGGTTGCGCCCTATGACATCGAACTTTGTTTTTGGATTCTCCTACCCTAAAAAAGCTTACATTAAGGAACAGAACTCACAATGCCGTGCGGTGAGAAAGATGCAGCACAATTATTCTAAGCTTCCACTGAACTCATATCCAAGATGAGGTTTGGCATCAGCCGACAATTCCTTTGTACCATGTTATTATGATTATGAGTAAGCTTACTCCTATCCAAGTCTCGAGAGGATTTCAACTGCTCTGCACAACATACTTCAGTTTAATCTCCCTGAACCTTACATTTATACATCTTCCCTGCATCAAGCCTCATGCAATAAACCAAATTGATACGAAATTGACACGAGAAATAAAATGTGTGTCATAAATTAACAGTTTGAGAAGAAAGTTGTTGAGCTACAAATTTGTATCATACTATATTTTCAAGTGACTACGTAAACGCCACCAACCATGACAAAAGTTGAGATTAGATAGCTACAAATTGTAGAAACCGTTCATCAAAGCAAAATGAGAGATGAGCATTAGACAGTATGTTTTGTTCAGCGGCCATCCTGAAACCAATCAAGTCAAGGATGATGAGGATTGAAGTGCCCCCGCTTAAAGCAATTTTCGTCCGGATGATAGATCGGCACGAAACAGGTGGGATCACATCGTCGACAACCCTTCTTCAGACTAGAATAGTCACCTGTACACACCAAAATACACTTGGATTAGTTTAGAATCAATAGATGACCACTGACAAGTCACGAATTAGTTTGCAGAAACTAATTAGTAGTTCGTCAAATGGGACAGGTTCAAAAAATTGATGCACTCACCATTTTCACCAGGAGTTAGAATACAATATGATAGTACTTCAACCGGATCCCCAGGTTTAAGCTCAACCGTCGTCTCCCCAAACAAACGGTGGACATATCCAGCCTTATCTTTGGCTGTGAAGTTGAGATGGATGATCCACGTGCCTCGAGAGTTAAATGGATAGGTGGCTAATGCTTCATCGAGTACGAAATCAGCACCCTGGATAGGCAATAGGAGGAGGGGCTGTTCGTAAATAATACTAGTACAGAAACTTGACACCATCACTGAGTTCGCAAACAAGTTTTAAACTTTAAACCAAAACATACCTAAACTAAGAATGTCTATCCATGAACAATACTGTTAGAAACCCAATTATTGGGTGATTTCGGTATTTGGACTTGTTTGTCGTTTTATTTATGTTTGGGGAATATTGGGTATTATTCGGGGGTTTTGGGCGCATTTGAGGATTATTCAGTTATTTTGGGTAAGGGATAATAAGTGGGGTAGTTAGCGGGAATTATTCGGGTAATATATTCTGTAGTTAGTGGGTGATTACTCATTAAGCAAATGCATAACAAAATTCCCCAAAACCCTAATTCCCTCTCTCTCACTCGGCCTATCCCTTCCCCTTCTCCCACCACCATCATCATCCTCGTCGGCCACCCTGGCCGCCGACCCCTTCTCTCTCTCCCTAATTCTCATTCCGTCCCTCAAATTCCCTTCCCAATCCCCAATTCCCAGTTCTCTACCGATCTTGATCATAACGCCCTAGACGCAAGACGCCTAGATCCTCGGGTTTCTTACAAATTCCACAAAACAAAGCGACCAAAGAAGATAGAGATTCACAGAGAAGTACTAACCGGATTATCACAATTGTATTTCTCCAGAACTTTCTCCGAGTAGAACAGGTTCTGTTGTGCCAAAGTTCTCGGTGGGATCCTATAACCAGTCCCCCGTCAGTCAAAACACAAGTATATTAGTCTATCGGTTTATACTAATGAAATTCAAACAGATAAAAAATCATGACCCTTACTCTTCTTCGTCATCTGTGGACTCCGGAGATTGTGGATCTACAATAGTTTGACAAATCTTCACAATGTCCTTCTGGTGCGTCTTGAAGTAGCACATCTGTTGCTTGCTCTCGCCAAGTTTGGCAGCTATCTCCACCCTGACCGAGTTTTGGAGCGTAGCCGTCGATGCTGCACTGTCAAGCTGGATTTTCATTCCGCGCATGACTACAAGCTGTTCCTGGAATTGCTCCATCAGCAAGCGCAGGTCCTCGCTTTCCTCATCGACCTGTCGTTTCAGTTTCCAGTTTTCCAAAGTGAGCTTCTCAATCGTCTTCTCGTCTTCCCTCTCTTCATCGACGGATAACTTGTTGCCGGATTTTCCGCGGGAGCCCTGACGGAAGCTGATGAGACTAGAGCGTAGGGATCGGCCGTTGCGCGATGAGCTAGGATGGTCCATGTAGCCGGAGCGGGACAAACGATAAGACGGCTTAGGGTTTCGTTTTGTTGGATTGGGATTTGGGAATTTTCTGGAATTGAGGAGTTGGGAATTGGCGTCCTTTAATATACAAGCTGTTCCTGGAATTTTGCTCTTTGGTTGACGGCCTCTCCGTGTCCGCATGGGGTCAGGCTTCTTGATCACGAATCGGACCACTTGATTACAAATCGGTAATTCTGTTTTTTTTAATGGAAAGAAAGAAACCCGCCGCATGCCCGTGTACTGTACACGCAGATACCTTTTACTGTACAACGTGACTGAGATTTACTGTTTCAAACTGGCGTGTCCTTCGGTGTGGGCTGGAGTTGGGTGAGGCCTCATTGGGATCTGACGGAGTTTGGGGGCTCGGTCGGGGTTGGACTGGTCGTTGGCTTCTGGTTGGCCTTAGTTGCGGTCGTTTGGCGGCCCGGACGCGCGTTGGTCATCAGAGATCGATATGTGACTTTGCCCCTGCTCGGCCACGTGGGACGGGGCCTTCAGATGTGCTCGGTAAGTCTTGCGTGATATGATTGTGTCTGTTAGGGATTCCTAGAGGGTCGTGTTGGCCTGTTGTTCGCAGGACTGTGTTGGAGAAACTTGGCGGCTGATTGCCTGGTGTTGGAGGTGCTTTGGGAATGGTGGACAACTGATTGATACCGGTTATTCACTTGAGGGACGGGGCCTTCAGATGTCCTCAGTGAGTCTTGCGTGATATGATTGTGTCTGTTAGGGATTCCTAGAGGGTCGTGTTGGGCTGTTGTTGGTAGGACTGTGTTGGAGAAACTTGGCGGTTGATTGGCTGGGATTGGAGGTGCTCTGGGAATTGTAGACAACTGATTGATACCGGTTATTCACCTGAGGGCGGGAGGGTGTCAAAAATTTTACTGCTTCCAGCTCTGTACACGTCATTCAGTGCCTCGATGCGTGCGCTCAGGTGGAGAAGGGTAATTCTCATTCTTTTTGCGCAAGAGGGCTCATTCTCGGAACGCATTTCCCTCTTTTTCTTCTTCCCTCTTTGTTCTTTGTGGTTCAGTCGTTGTTTTCTCGCCTTTTTCCTCACCATGGATGCTACTCTGCTCTGCAATCTCAAAGGAGGTACCAGAGAGGTGACTCTGAGGCTTCGTCTGCTCCATATGTGGTTTGCCAAGAATCCTTCTGGGACAAGGATGTTTAATCACTGTTGCCTCTGGGTGGATCAGACGGTGATTCTCTTACGCTGATTCTTTGTGATTACAGTGCTTTCTGTTTTTTTGCTCTTTTTTTCCCTTCTTTGCTCTTTCTTGACTGTCTTTTTTTGTTTTTAATTTAGGGTATGCTCATTCAGAGCCTGACTGATGTCTCTATTGGGTCTGAATTTGAGCGTGTGCTACGCGTGGGAGTTATCTACGTTCTTAGGTCTTTTGGTCTCAGTGCTGCAAGGAATCTCTATCGTGCTTGCTCATTTGATCTGATAATAGAGTTGTCAGCAACCACTATTTTCCAGGCCTGTTCTCTGCCTGCAGCTGAATTTCCAACTGATTCCTTTGAGGTTGTTCCTTATAGCGAGCTGTCTAACCGTTCAGGGGACAATCGTATCCTTGCAGGTGATTATTGCGTTTTCTTGACTGAATTGGATTGGGTTTTATGTCTTCTTACTGTTCTTTTTTTCCGGTCAGATGTTGTCGGTCGTCTTCATTCTATTAGCGGGATTGATCATCAGGTTACTAATCACGGCTCGACTCCAAAACAAGTTCTGGTCCTTGAGAATGCACAGTAGGTCTTTCTGTGATTTTATTTTTGCACTGGGGAATACTATTTCGTCACCTTCACGTAAGATCTGATCCTTTGTTTTGCTATCAGGGGCCAGAGAGTGTCAATCACGCTTTGGAATGAACTGACGGCAGTCCTTGATCGACCTGCTTTGATTCAGGCAGACTCCATGAGCCAGTGATCGTTGAAGTACTAACCTGATTCTTACGATTGTATTTCTCCAGAACTTTCTCCGAGTAGAACAGGTTCTGTTGTGCCAAAGTTCTCGGTGGGATCCTACCAACCAATCCCCGTCAGTCAAAACACAAGTGCATAAGCCTATGGGTTTATACTAATGAAATTCAATTCAGACATAAAAATCATCACGAGACGAGAGACCCTTACTCTTCTTCTTCATCATCCGAGGACTCGGGAGTCGGTGGATCTAAAATAGTTTGAGCAATCTTCAGAATGGCCTTCTGGTATGTCTCGAAATCGCACAACTGTTGCATGCTCTCGCCAAGTTTGTCAGCTATCTCCACCTCGGCCGACTTTTGGAACTTTGTCGTCAATGCCACATTGTCAAGCTGCATTTTCATTGCCCGCATGATTACAAGCTGTTGCTGGAATTGCTCCCTAAGCAAGCGCAAGTCCTCGCTTTCCTCCACGAAACGCCGTCTTAGTTTCCTGTTTTCCAATTTGAGCTTCTTGATCGTCTTCTCGTCTTCCCTCAATTCATCCACGGATAAATTGTTGCCTGATCTTCTGCGGGAGCCCCGACGGTAGCTGAAACTAAAGCGTGGGGATCGCTCGGAGCTAGCAGCAGTATCCATGTAGCCGGAGCGGGACAAATAGTTTAGGGCTTCGATTTGATGGATTGGGAATTGCGGTTTTTCTGGAATTGAGGATTGGAACGAATAGCGGAGCGTTTTCTTAATAACTTTTTCCACTACTCTAATGTGGACTGGGCTCTGTTGGGCTCTGTTCTATATAATGTTTTGCTCTTTGGTGATTTCCTCTCCGTATACGATCAGGATTGATCACGACTCGGCCCATTTATTACAAATCGGTAATTCTGTTTCATTACGAAATAAATGCTGGTTTACTTTTATTTTCGTTTTTGGTGGACTGTGGTCGTGGCAACATAAAATAGATTTTGGAGGGAACGAAAGTTAGAAGTGCCCCTTCTGTGGGTTGCCACAAACCCAGCTTCATGCTCTTAGAGAGTGTAGCTGGATCCGTCGTCGCTGGGAAGAATGGGATGGAAAGAACCTGTTTGAATTTGGGGAAGGAAAATCATGTTTGGATTGGATTAAGGAGGTCTGGAAGAACCCTGTGGAAAAAATTCAAAAGTTTTGTGTAGTGTTTTGATACATGTGGAAGGAGAGATGCAACCACCTCAACAATAATCATAAAATGGACGAAGATCTTATCATCCCCAAGGCGCTGGGCTGGCTCCAATCTGTACGTGGGCACCGGGTCGGGCCGCTCACGGGCTAGCACGGCACGACACGGTTATAGCACGGCACGAGCATGGGTACGAAATAAATGGGTCAGCCTGAGCACAATAATTTATGGGCCGTGTCGGGCCTAGACTTCATGGGCAAGGGCACGAGCACGGGTATGACACGATAAATAAGTGGGTCGTGTTGGGCCTAATATTTTTGAGATTTTATTGAGTATAAGAACGAACATGGCACAAAAATAACATTTATTTGATAGAAATAAATATATAAAGAATTATAGGTTTAAATATTACAAAATAGTTAAATACAAGTAGAAAAATAATTATTTGTTGTTGTTAGAAATGTCATAAATATATATACGTAATTACTACCATAAGTAAAAATGGATGAGGAATTAAACAAAGTCAAATCACACTCGTTATACTTTCAATTTTCTTGTCCCCCTTATTTGTTACTTTTCTCAAACATTCTCGGTTAATACTATCTTTCTCCGTCCAATTTTTCACCTTCTTTTTTCATTCTCTCTTTTATTTTCTTCCTTTTCATTAGACACGAATACAAGCACGACACGAGCACGAATAAGCACGGCACGATTCGAATCGTGCTCGGGCCTGGGTCGGGCCTAGCAAAGTTAACAAATGGGCTTTCACGGCACGTTACGAAAACTGACGGGTCGTGCCAAGCAAGACACGAAATAAATGGGCCCAAAGCGTGCCTGTGCCGTGTCGGCCCAAGCACGACTCAACGCCCATGTACACTCCAATCCTACCTTGACGCCCAGGAATTGGAGGTGGATGGTGGAACTGTGAATCGGGCGCTGATTCGTTCGGGTTCTTCGGGTGGTTGGTTCCCGCCACCGGAGGGATCTCTCAAATTGAACTCTGATGCTGGAATTCTTAGCCCGTCGGGAATTGGGCTTGGATGTGTGATACGTGACTGGAGGGGGTCTTTCTGTGGAGCTATGGCGAAGAAAGAGAGAGGGTCTTGCAGACCGATTGAAGCGGAAGTGAAAGCAATTATCATGGGGATGATGGAAGCAAACAGAAGGGAGCTCAGTCCCCTGGTGGTGGAATCTGACTGCCAAGTGCTTTTAAGAAAATTGGAGAAGGAGGAGGATGATTTTTCTGAGCTTGGGATTTGGTGTGAGGAGATCTGGAAGCTTGCTAGAGCAAATGAGGCTTTTTCTGGGAAGAAGGTGAGCTGGAGATTCACTCCCCGCGCTAACAATTCCACGGCGCATTGGCTGGCCCATGCGACGTCGGATTGGGATAGACATGTGGTGTGGGTGGACAACCCACTCTAGACTCTTCTATGTCTTATTGAGGCCGATCCGAGGCAAAATGTAATGGGCCCAACTTAATTTTCTTAATGAAATGAATCCAGGTTCCCATAAAAAAAGTTATCGTTCCATAGAAATAAAACATGAAAATGAAAACATGTTTGTAGTGAATTTTGAAACTAAAACTTGAATAATGGTAGATTGTTTAAAATTAAAGTAAACAAAAGTTGATTGATATAACTAATTATAGGACTTTGCTACGGTGACATGCATGTCACGGTGACATGCACTTTTCGGTCGACCTCATATAGGATCAGGTCGACCTAATCAGTTGTTTCAGTGTAAAAACAGTTTCACGGTGCCTACTTTGAAGATTCATATCTTACAATTGCCTAGATGGAAATTGGAGATTAAAGGCTTATTTTGAAGCTGAAGTGTCCCTCTACACATTAAAGTACTTGGGAGCTCAATAGAAAGTCCAGAAGACCATTTTTGAACCTGACCAAAAGGCTATGCCAAAACTGGGAAACTGCCTCAAAATGGTTATCCCCTTGTAGCCCAGAAAGGGTTGCCCCTCCCCATGATCTTTCTGTTCATTGTAATTTGAATGTTGTGAATTCTTCTGCTGCCATGTACTCTTCTCGTGAACAGTGTCATGCAGGTAAAAGCTCATCAAGTGATCTCCTAAAAAGCTTTTTCGGTGACTCTCCTTGTCAAAGTGGAAGCAAGTCCTCCTTGAAAAGGCATCGTGGTAATACAGATGTTTCGATCACAGCCAACAGTCAGGAATCATACTCGCTGGAGCATTAGAGAATCCCTCAACCTGTTTCAAGCTTCATGGAGCGGCCATGCAAGCAGAGAAGATTAGATGCAGATACATGTTGAATAAAGAAGTTGAAGCTTTTATGAATCCGTGCAGGAAGATTCTCGGCAAAGAACCAATTATTGATGATGATCGAAGAGAGCGCTTCATCCTGGACAACCCAGTTCCTCCTCTGCACAAAATGAATTGGGTCAAGGCCAAGCATACCCCTTCTCCGCCAAATGCTCTTATTAAGTGGTGGAATGTTCATTGTGTTAAGTATAACTGGGATTGTTGTAGAATGTAATCACAATGCACCATGGGAGTGGCAGGGACGGGGCTAAACTAAACCCAAGCATTCACTTGGTTAATTCTGAATCATTTTAGGTCCAGTCCAGGGGACAAATCAATAGGAAATGCTATTTATGCTATTTGATCAATGCATATGGTACCTTGCAAAATAAAAGATAGCTGGTTCGAATCTTGATCGGGGCACGAGCGTCAGTAAGGTCAAACTATAAGTCAACCCGAAGTGGGCGTAAGCAATCCGAAGGCTTCCGAAGGAACGTGAAGCCGGTCGTTTGGGGTAACCCTTCGTTTGAGATAAGCCGGGTCGAGAGAGTACGATACATTGGTGTAAAAGATTGAATCAATTCGCAAGATCTCTTCTTCTCTTATGATATTTGCAATGAGAAGTTTAACTAATTTACTTTCAAGACTATATTCAGACTGTACTTGGTTAGTATCAGTCACTAGGCACATAGGTAAAGGTTGAAACCCGTTAGCAAGGCTACGAACCTTCTAAAAATCAAGGGCTTCTAGAAGAGTGCTCGCTTCTCATTCCAAAGTGGCATAAAGAAAGCACAGCAACCGCATTCGCTCCTATACAAGCACTTATCTAACCCATTTCCCTGGATAAGTCATCCAATTGGGTGCTTTGACAAATCCACCAAGATGTCTCGTAAGAAGAAGGATCGACGACTAGTAGGCCTCCTAAGTCAGGACGGTCGAGCTCCCCCAGTTGATTGATTGCTTGCGACAGCTTATCGATGCTCAACGCGGTGAAGTCCCTCAAACCAGAAGTTTCAGTACGCTCTTCCCTCCGCCTCTTAGCCCTCAGTGTCCGGCTGGTCTTCGCTTGTCTGTACGATTTTCATTGATTGTTTGTTAAATGTAAGAATTTTAGCATAAAATTACTCCCTAAAGTTTTATTGATTTACGTGACCTCACATCTCTTCCATCCTGTCCTGTATTAGTTTGCTTTGCTGTGGGGCGAGACCTCTTTTTTTTTGCAGCCAATCTCTGTCTCTCTTGTATCTGCCTTCCCGCGATAAAGAGTGAAAGTAGCTCTTTTGGCCCTCCTTCTTCATGCGAGACAGTTTCTTCCTTTGCTATTTATTCTGTCCAGTGTCCTGCTAGGATTTATAGGTATCTGGTGGGTATACATCCATAGTAGCGATCAAAACGGGCCAATATGGAGGGTACTTTCTTAGGTCATAGTTTTCAGGCCATTTTAAAGCCCTTTACAAAAGCGCTTCCATTCGTAATGCTTTTGAGCAAGTACTGGTTTTTTACTATGGATAAGTACGTGGCCTAGGTAGTATATATGACTCTCTCTTTCCCCTTCCGGGGATGCTTACGAAAGAAGGTCTTTTCCAAGATTTTACTATGAAGCATTTGCTTATCAAGCCGACTGACGGGCAGCGCATCAACACTTAATGGATAAGCTACGGTAATGGGTATCTGTATAAGATAAGCGGAGATTAAGGCATGGGGAAAGGGCAAGAGTAACTAATCATATAATATTTGCTTTAGCGCTGGGACGCCCTTTTCTTGAATACGCGGATATTGACTCATCACATCAGTTTTTTGAAATGGAGGATGCTGGAGCAGCAAGAAGGTCAGTTCTGCTAGGGCCGGTTGTGCTTATGTCGACTAAAGCGATTGACCGGTAAATGCGTACCTCTATTTATAGAAGTAATTGATAGAAAAGGCATGTTTTCGACACGACGCGCGGCCTTTTGTTCGACAGGAAAGTAAAGTCGTAAGAAGTAAGTTTTTTGCGCTATTAGGGATGGAATACTGCTTTCGATGGAAGAGCAGGTGCTTTATTTCTCTTATCACGGAATCTTATTATACGTTGATACACGAGTTGGACAAAATTCAACTATAAAGAAAGCAACTGGTTCGAAAGCTGGGGCTATTCCGACTGGTAGCTTCACAGCTTGAATCGGAATACCACACCGCCCAATGGTTCCCAGTACCCTTTCTACAGCTCTAAGTACCCCTTTCTTAACAGCGCCGGAAAAGATGCTGCGCCCTACCTGGATCGGCTTTATTCATTGTCGCATCCATTCCCTCATTCATTCTATTCCGCAGAATATAAGTCCCTGTTCATGCTTATTATCCTCGCTGGGAATTTCTTTCTAGATCTATAAAAAGTATATCAATCAAAAGAGTATCCCGATCAGCATCTAAAGCATCAGGGCGGATATACAAGAAGTTTAACGAGGGAATTTGACATGATCTACAGGAAGAAGTGCTGCTACTATGATGCCCAGTTTTGCTTCTCCCTTACTACAATGTGAAAAGCTGCCCTCGTTTCTATTATCCGACATCGATCTCGGCTTCCTTGACAAGGCAATGTGAGCCAACGTGCTGAGATAGATGACGGGCTTTGCCGTTCCAGGGCAGCATTCACGATGTGAGGAAAGAACAAAAAACCATACAGATGGCATCGCGAATCCCCTACCGAAGTGACTTCACCTCCATCAGCGGTTACGTTAACAACCGATTTGCGACAGCGGATATGCGACTAGGTTGATCTATTAAATCTCATGCTATGGTCCATTAAATGCTTCTTTTTCGATTCGGTATGGAAGCTTTGTTCTCACCTCCAGTACCAGCGCTTCAGAGACTAGGGCCTTGTTACAGCCTCTTCCGACTATGCCATCATATTCTACTTCGGATGTTAAGGAGCTAGCCTCATTTAGGAGCACTGTTTTCATCCAACTCAAAATATTGTAAGAGAAGAAAGGAACATTTATGCCCAAAGACTCCCATGCTTTCTGTTGGTTAACAACCAACCACAGCTCTCTATAGTTCTTAACTACTCCGACTCTCTTTCTGTCTGGAGGGAATTCTTTTTTCGAAATAAATCATGCCTCAACTAGATAAATTTACTTATTTTACACAATTCTTCTGGTTATGCCTTTTCTTCTTTACTTTCTATATTTTCATATGCAATGATGGAGATGGAGTACTTGGGATCAGCAGAATTCTAAAACTACGGAACCAACTAATTTCACACCAGGAGAACAACATCCGGAGCAAGGACCCCAAGAATTTGGAAGATATTTTGAGAAAAGGGTTTAGCACCGGTGTATCCTATATGTACTCTAGTTTATTCGAAGTATCCCAATGGTGTAAGGCTGTCGACTTATTGGGAAAAAGAAGGAAAATTACTTTGATTTCTTGTTTTGGAGAAATAAGTGGCTCACGAGGAATGGAAAGAAACATATTCTATTTAATAAGGAAGTCCCCATATGTCGCTTCTTTGAATCCTGGATGGAGAAGGATCACTTGTAGGAATGACATAATGCTAATCCATGTTCTACACGGCCAAGGAAGCATCGTTTTTTAATCTCATTATGACTTGGTCGTTCGGAAGAGAGAACTTACAATGCTACAAAGCCGCATTCTCCGAAGATTTACGAAGAATAAAAGGGGAAAGAAAATTAATAAGAAAAACTTTAGCAGAAGGAAAGAGTATTCTACGGGGATAAGGGACCCCCAGGCTTTCTGAAAATAAAAGAAAAGAAAGAAGATCCTCCCATGTAGTTCGTCGGTTAAACCAACGATTCTCTTCCTAAATTTATAGTAATAGAGAGATCTTTTTCTAGTTAGACTTCTATCAATGCAATGAAAGAACCATCCCTTCCTATTTGTTTGTCCTGTCAGATAGAAATCAAATTAGACCCCAAAGAGCCCTTCTTTACTACTTTAGGGGGTGTGGGGTGATGGGGGGGTTTACATACAACCTTGGCAAAGTTGTTTATGATTGAATCTCAGAGGCATTCTTATCATTTGGTAGATCCAAGTCCATGGCCTATTTCGGGTTCACTCGGAGCTTTGGCAACCACCGTAGGAGGTGTGATGTACATGCACTCATTTCAAGGGGGTGCAACACTTCTCAGTTTGGGCCTAATTTTTATCCTATATACTATGTTTGTATGGTGGCGCGATGTTCTACGTGAGTCCACGTTGGAAGGACATCATACCAAAATCGTACAATTAGGACCTCGATATGGTTTTATTCTGTTCATCGTATCGGAGGTTATGTTCTTTTTTGCTTTTTTTTTGGGCTTCTTTTCATTCTTCTTTGGCACCTACGGTTGAGATCGGAGGTATTTGGCCCCCAAAAGGGATTGGGGTTTTAGATCCTTGGGAAATCCCTTTTCTTAATACCCCCATTCTCCTTTCATCCGGAGCTGCCGTAACTTGGGCTCATCATGCTATACTCGCGGGGAAGGAAAAACGAGCAGTTTATGCTTTAGTAGCTACCGTTTTACTGGCTCTAGTATTCACTGGCTTTCAAGGAATGGAATATTATCAAGCACCCTTCACTATTTCGGATAGTATTTATGGTTCTACCTTTTTCTTAGCAACTGGCTTTCATGGTTTTCATGTGATTATAGGTACTCTTTTCTTGATCATATGTGCTATTCGCCAATATCTTGGTCATCTGACCAAGGAGCATCACGTTGGCTTTGAAGCAGCTGCATGGTACTGGCATTTTGTAGACGTGGTTTGGTTATTCCTATTTGTTTCTATCTATTGGTGGGGGGGTATATGAAGGAACGAAAAAGTGGATTGAGAAATAAAAGCTCGAAGGCAAAGAGAATCGGGCTTTTCCAAAGAATTACTGCAGCTTTGCTGCTCCCTTTAATTATCATATACAAAAAACTTTCTTCCACTTTCCTACCAAATCTCTTTTTATTCTGGCATATAAATGAAGGGATCAAAGAGATTATGGCGGATTATGTTCACCAAGAAATGACCCGAAATTTGATCTTGGTCTATTTGAGATTGTTCTTTTTAATCGTAATCAAAGATGTTTTCTTGTCTCTCGTTTCTTTTCTGAACAAATCGAAGAACCTAATGGATCGAACTCATACATCAAAACGTCTGTTATAGTTATTAATGTTATAGTTATTAAAGATAGGAATGAACCTATGTCAACTTTCACTTTAAAGCCGCCAGACGGCCGGTAGGTATAAAAAGGCTCGTCGAAGACTGATCCTGATCTTCTCTTCGGTAATAACTTTGTGTTCGTTAGACTGTACTAGTTCACTTTTTCAAAGTAATGTTTGTTAGGTCTTTTGAGGCTACTTCTAGTCGAGCAATGATCCAATTGGAGAAGCAAGCGGCTCTTTGTCGTCACATTTCCCTTGGGACCAAGAACAAGCTTCAAAGAAGAAGAAGGAAAGGACAACTCGCAATCTCAGTTACAATGGCTAGTTGGAAAGCTTGTTTAAAGCCAATCGATTATTGGATTTCACCAACCCAACGACCACTGCCGGGGGATCCCTATATCTTCTCTCAGATTAAAGTCTTCAATCAAACGGAATGAAAGCAGGAGATTTATTAGCATTAGTAGCTTTGGGACGATAGACTCATGAGATTAGACCTCATGATGGGCTGTAAGCTCTATTCCTACTTTTATTTTCTACTCCCATGGATCGCTAACAAGACTTCACCTTCGAAAGTGATCTACGACCGGCTCTTCGAATCAGTCGCTGAGGAATGACAGGTTGAACTATGTCACTGCGCACACCTCCTATCCCACAAATTGAGTGAGTGTTCTTAGCCATCCCTCAACCGGAGGGGGAAGGGATGATGGTGGAACCCCCCACCAATGCTCCTATAGTACCCGCAATTAATACCTGTCGAGGACTCATCAGTCAAGCGGATAGCATTGCCTTTTTTTTCTTGTTACTTTTTTTACTCACTTGCTAACAGCGCTAGTCGCCTCTTACTTTATGTGTATACATAGGAAATGTCCTTTCATCTCCTTATCCAGTACTGACGCCGCTCTACTTCAGTCTCAAGGTTACCGCTCGACCTTCTCTCCTGCATAGGTATGGCGCATAGAAAGGATTCGCTCTTGACCTTAATGAGAGTTACTAGCCCGACTGACTCATATCTATCGTAAAAGGCCTCCCCACTATCATGCGAAAGGGATCAGCTACTCCTTGATTATTTGCTTAACTGGAAAGTAGAGACTTCTCGCAATCCGAAGCGATAAAATCCCCGGCTTTCGACCTGGACCAGTTCTTCAAGGACCCCATTACGGCGCTCTCTTGTTGAACTGATAGATTATCTCTTCCATTCTTCAATTAGATTCTGGACAAAAAGAATTCCCTCCAGACAGAGCTCCAATTTTTCTCTCATGCAAAGTTCTCTCGCGAACTCCGCCGCTCCTACGGCTCCGGAGTCTGACCAACTTATCCGTAGCACTAAGAAATACAAACGGCACTTCAGTGGGGTGCCCCGTATCCCTGATTCCGGTGAAAATGCTTCTGTCTCACGCTCTCCGTCAGATGTTCAGCAAGCTTCAGCTGGGGGTCGAAACCCTAGTAGGCTCTCTTTCAAAGAGATTGTTGCCGCGGGTAAGAATCTGCCTCCCTTTTATGAAGGGGGAGATGAGGATCGTGAAGCCGATATCAATTGGTTGAGATCTTTTTCCGAGACTCGACTTCAGAACTGCGTGGATTTTAAAAGTTCTCAATGGCTCAAGATGGAACTCTCTCTGGATGAGAGGATTTAACATTGGCTCCCTTGGAGAAAAGCTGTTATTGTGAAACCGTTAGGAATAAATTTGAGTTACTTCTTTCTTTATTAGAAACTTAATGATCTATGCAAGCCTTTTTTTTCCTTTTGAGTTGAGAGATTTCACTATGGGATATTATTTCGTTCGGTTCCGTTCAAAGGAAGATTATGACCGGGTACTTCACGAGGGGCCTTGGATGATGGCTTCGTCGTCAAATACGAAGCCGCAGTCCAAGAAGAGCTTCGCGGCGGTGGCTATGGAGTCGACATTGCCGAAAAAACAGGAGACTAAGGGAGCGAGAAAGTCGGAACCTAATCAAAAAAAAATATTCAGAAGAGTTCATTAGGAGATGCTGATCCCAAAATTCTCGGGAGGGATAGTGCTTTTATTTTTGGTGCTGATAAAGGGAGGAAACTAATTTCTGGATCTCGTTTTACCCCTTTGGAATCGGATAGTGGTGATATGGTTACAGATTCCTCGGCAAAGACTCAGGACCAACATTTGATTGTTAAAAAAATATATAATTCCTCTCCCTCTCCCTATCGGTCGAGCAACTTCGTTCCTTCGGGCTCATATATTCTAAACCTTCGGGGGAACTCAAACTAAAAAGAATCGAAGGACAGAGATTGAAGAATTACTTCATACTTCAGCTGTCTATCCTTTTGCTGGATTGGGACTAATGAATTCGCTTACAATCTTAAAAAGAGAGCTATAAAGACAGATTGTTCTGTCTTACTAAGTACTAAGCTAAGGAACCGAGCAAGGTGCGGAGTCTCAATCACGTGTACGACGGTCGACGGGAGAAAGGGAAGCAGAGCAGCAAGCACCATAGTCCGGAAAGAATAGAATGTTAATGCTCGATAGTAAGGATTGTCTGATGCATGTAGGGAAACATCCCGAATCAAGGGATTTAGGCTATCAAAAGCTATTTTTTATTCATATACGCGGGATCTTCGATTTCTTACTCTAACCTGTTTGTTGATCGGCTTTTCTATATGGTGGTTCTGTATACCGGAGCAACTGCTCGTAACCCCGACAGCTCTCTCCGCGCCAGATCTAAAACTACTTTTTAGGGTGGCAAGGGAGACTTTTGAGAATCATGTTTGTAGTAGTCATCATGTCCCAAGCCGCAAACTCAATGATACAGGGCGAGGATAAAGAGTGCAAGAGAAGGAGCTGACAGCCATAGTTCATTGCCTAAGAACACGATCTAAATCTAATAGATTCTTGTATCGAGTAGTTGGATCATAAGAGTCTCTTACCATACAAAAAAATGGCTGCATGCGCTGCACCTTTCGTCACTGAAGGAGCTATCTTCCCCGGCAACAGAGTTGGATAGATGCCATAGTGAGGAGTAGTCCCGACCGTTATCCCCATTCCCTTCCTCTACTTGAATGAAATATTCAATTCTCTTTCCCCTGAGAAAACAAGACTCGAAGTCCCCATATTCTCCCATCAAGATGTTACTGACCATAGGTTGTTCGTCGTCTTGAGGATCATGTCGATCTGCTAACTTTCTATCACTGGTTGGGGGCTGTTGGCCCTGAATCTCCCCGCATAAGTGGGAAAGGACTCAGATGGCTTTTGATGCTTAATCTCCAACTCGTGGCAAAGATCTTACTTTTCTTTTGTGGAACATCTCTATAGCTTGGGACAGGCTTGCTTGAGCGGATATGCGATATACAACCGATCTGCGACGATAAGTCTATTGGTCTTTCAATCTTTTCACAATGGAAATTCACCACTTCACTTACTTACTACTTACTTATTTAAATACCAGCTTGAACACGGAAAGTGAAAGTAGCACTAAAAAAGCAAATAGAGAGAGACTACAATACAGAACTAAATAGGTTTAGAGTTCGGTGCTAGGTCAGCTAATAAGCTAAGCTACATCATCATCCACTGATTGAGTAGCATCGCGTTCAGAGCCGGGCGGGTTTGAAAAGATTAGAAATGAGGAGAGCAGTGGCAAAGGACAAAGGATAGGAGGAGCATTTTTTCCTTCCTTAGTGAAGGTACGAAGTGTCTGGCAACGTGTTTGTCAAGCCTACTTTGGAGCTCAATTTGAGAAGCATGGATGCGAGTCAAGCCTAGGGGCCTCTACCACGTTAAATTAAGTATTTTTTTATACAAAGACAAGGCATTGGATGAAAGATTGAATATCTTTAAGGCTTCAAACAAAAGGCTCGAAGTTGCTACGAAGGTTGTTTTTCTGGCAGCTTGCTTGTGCTCGAAGTCTGCCAGAAAAACAGCCTTCGTAGCAACTTCGACCCTTTTGTTTGAAGCCTTAAAGATATCCAATCTTTCATCCAATTCCTTGAATTAGTATAAAAACATACCTAATTTAACGTGGTAGAGGCTCATGGACTCGACTCGCATTCATGCTTCTCGAATTGAGCTCAAAAGTAGGCTTCACAAACACGTTTCCAGACTTAGCCATTTCTAGGTAGTTTCCCAGTTTTGGCATAGCCTTTTGATGAGGTTCAAAAATGGTCTTCTGAACTTCCTATCGAGCTCTCAATCACTTCAATATGTAGAGGGACACTCCAGCTTCAAAACAAGTCATTAGTCTTCAATTTCCATCTAGCCATTGTATGATATGAATATCCAAAGTAGGCACCATGAACTGTTTTTACACTGAAACAACAGATTAGGTCGACCGGATCCTATATGAGGTCGACCGAATCCTAAATGAGGTCGACCGGATCCTATATGAGGTCGACCGAATTCTAAATGAGGTCGACCTAATTCTAACTGAGGTCGACCGGAAAGTGCAAGTCACCATGACATGCATGTCACTATAGGCACACCCCTAATTATAATGATAGAATAAAAGTATCAAGTATAAAAAGGAGAAATGGAATTTATTTTTAGAGAATAAATTAGATAGATATAAAAATTTTAGTGAAATTTTTAAATCAATTTTAACATATTTTTTTAAATAAATATTTTCGTGTTTTAAATTCAATGGTTCATTTCCCATAGTAAATTTTGAATTCACCTTTATTCTTGTGGTAAGGTGCTATCCAATCATTCAACGGGTAATTAGCACAAAAGGTCACAAATCTATGCACTTAATACAAAACGGTCACAAATCTTTAATTTTTCACGTTTCAGTAACAAATGTTTGGACGAATAACGAAAATGTCATTCCGTCCATTTCCATCCAAAAAAATCGTTACCCATACCTAGTCAGCGTGCCACGTCATTTAAAATATTAATAAAAAAATAATGATCAAACCCAATCAACCCAGACTCAATCCAACCAGTTGCCGACTCAACCCCTCTACCTCACCGCATCAGATGGGAATCCCTGACAGTTGTGGCTGAACCCAGTACCACAATCCCCAACGCACTCCCCACGCTGCTCGCCACGACGCCACCACCACTTTCCACACTGTTGCTCTCCCTCCTTCCCCGTTGTTACCGATGTAGATGCCGGACTCCGCGCAGGCGATAACTTCACGACCAGCCCTAAATGCGCGTTGGATGTCGAACTCATACTCCAGCTGAAATTGGGGGCTTCAAGCTCACTGTCTTCCCATCTCCGTAAAATATCACACAGGGGATTGATAACGTGAATATCAACAAAGTTTGTTAAATTGATGGCGATGGGGTTTCCCTGGGTGGAACGGATCCCGACCTCAAAAGGGTAGTTGGAATTGGGGCTATTGCTCATCTTGCTGGCAACATCACTCTATTGGGCATGGGTAGAGCAAGACGTCGATTCTCAGGCGGAATTCATCGAACAGGACGCCGTGGCGTGTCAGGTTGCCGCACCGAAACCTGGCCGCGTGAGACATGACGTCGGAGAGTTGGGAGTTGAACTTTCTTCACGGAGCTGAACTGCGAGATTGAAGGCGGCCTTTATCATTACAGCGCATGTCGAGGGATTTAGAGAGGTGAGAGAGGTAGGTTGGACAGGGTATAAAGATTAAAGCATCCTTCATTTACCCTTCTTCTTTTTTGGCAAGGGTGTTTCTAATTTCTAAAGCACCAGAAGAAACGAGAGAAAACAAAGAAAGAAAGGAAGAATGGAGTCTGCTAAGGTTTGGTCTATGTCGATTGGGAATAAAGGGAAATATGCAATTTTTGGGATTTCCATTGGGTGCAAAGGGAAGTTTCGTCAGACTGGAGATTTTGGGAGATTGAGGAGATGTTTTTGGCGTAGGTATTGTCAATGGTGGGGTAGACGACAGTGATGTGGGGTTTGACTCGGCAACCGGCTGGGTTGATCCTGGGTTGACTGGGTTTCATTCTTGATTTATTTTTATTAATATTTTAAGTGATGTGACATGCTGACTGAGCATGACTAACAGTGTTTTTGGATGGAATTGGACGGAATGACATTTTCGTTATTCGTTCAAACATTTGTTACTGAAACGTGCAAAATTAAAGATTTGTGACCCATCATTCAACATATCAACCATCATGTTAGGGTTGCTACTAATTCAATAAGTTCGGTAATGACCTATAAAAAAACTAGAATGATAATGTTGTTACTTTTCCAATATATCATGTAATTGATGCACACTTTTAATGATTATTTTGTGTACAACTCAGGTTTTATCCTCTCGCCATGGTTGTCACGCCGGCGGGCGTGACACCGTTGTATCTGGTTCAACCGGTACCTGGTTCAACCGGTATGGTTATCATTCACCTTCCTCTCGCTTTATCACTTTAATCTTGTGGTTTTTTACATCAGACACTGTTGTTGTGGGCGATGGGTTATTATGAGTAGTTTTGTATGCCAACCCATGAGATAAGTTGTATTCCGTTCTAAAAGCTGTTAGTTTGGGAAACATCTTTGTTTAGGGTTGTCCAAATGATAACCATGGTAATTACCAAAATGATTAAGGGTAAATTCTACTCATCATGAAATATAATATCATGACCAACTCGATCAAACTAATACAACAATCAAATTAATCAAACTAATATTTTATCTATTTGGTTAATTGGTTAACCGTGTTAACCAATATATCATACATTATCATTAGTCATTACCCGATTTTCTTTTTGTTAATGCATCAATACCTAATTTATATAATGAAGAAAACATATAATTCCTACTTATATTTCACTCATACATTATCATTATATTTCAGGAGCTTCGTTTAGCATTTTAGCTACCTTAACCTACTTTAGATTTCTCTTCCCTTCATTTTCACTCACACCTTCATATAATCCCTACAATGGATGTGGCGACAGGAGCAAATGCAATCGCGGCCATTACAAGGTCTATGAACCTCTTTGAAAGGCGGTTCTAACTCTAAGCCCATCTGTTAGGGGAACAATAGCGATGCATCCTAACGATCATATATCGTCCATTGTCTCCCTCCCCAGTCCCCACACACCATCTAGTTTTTTTTTCATTTTTTTTATATAAATGATGAGACTCAATTTTATTACCAAATCATATATAAATGTTTGGTACTTAATTTTATGTCATGTTATTTCCAATGTATGATATAGTGTTGTCCACAATCTCATCCAAGTGGAAGACATTTGAAATTTAAATTAAAATAGAAACTTAATTTTAATCGAATATAAAAATATTCTTTTGTTTGATTCGAATGAATCACATTGATCAGTCTTTAAAATAATTTACAAATCCAATCCAAATTATATTTGAAGCGATATATCTGATTTTCAGTCCAATTTAATGTAATCCCAGTTGAACTTCCCTTTTCCTATAAACACTCTTGATTAACATTTAAAATAATATATTTCATTGTATACCAAAAAGAGCTCACAAAAAAAAAAATCAAAAGTTCCATGGTTAGAAAACAAGAAATTTCTCAAACTAAATGATAAACCGGGCCTGGTGAAGCGGGCCTGTTATCCAAGTGGGCCGAAGGAAATTGTAGGCCGGGTTGGGCTCATCACTGTTAAAAAAGAGAGAGAAAAAAAAGCATCTTAGAATATATTAAAGCGCTTTCATAAAGAGACCCCATCCACGTCAGCCGCGGAAGCACCACCCCAAATTTCGGGCTTACATCTTTTTCCCCCTTTTTTTATTTGTTGTGCCGATTTTCCATATAAAATTTGCTTTTGAAATTTGAACAACGTTTCTTTTATTAACCCACGCATTATATGTATTGTTTTCACAGAGGTTCTTTTAAAGTTTTTTGTGTTATGGAAGACGTATTAAGTATGACAATTGTTTAATTAGGTTCTTATGATAGAATAAATTCTCTTAATACATTTTAATCGGTTTCTCTGTATTTTATAAATATATTAATATATTTTTTCGTAAGATATTCAGATATTAATTCTAAGATCACATTTATCACAATATATATAAAATATTTTTTATTTTCCAGATAATTTAAAGTTTAAATACGTATAAAATGTCACAATTATGACAAGAACATCTCCTCTAAAATTTATAAATCCAAAGATTTAAGTTTTCATTCATGACCTCAAATGTATAATTTATATAATTTTTACTATTTTGAGATTAAAATAGCACGGTAATCAACAATAAATAGATAGTTTAAATGTTAACACCAATGCATGCAAAACTATAACGTACCGACGGTCCGATCAAAAATCGTCTACTGAATCCCGAGTCGATAGGTAATTTTACTAATATGAAATCATCGAACTATTGTTTAAGTATAAAAATACTCCATACCTAACTTTTCAAACAAAAACAACCGTATCATACCAAAATCAACCCGGCCAATGGCCGGGCACAAAAACTAGTTATAAATGAGAGAGAAGATATCAAGTTTCCCACGCCGCCCGTCCCTACCATCCCTCCCACCCAATCAAAACATCCGTCACATCGCCATTTCTTCTTCTTCTTCTTCTTCCTCCTCCTCTGCCTCCAAAACCAAAAGTAAAGAAAAGCAAAAATTTCCCGCCCACCGCCTCCGTGCAGTCTGCACATTTCTCTCTAACCGTCGCCCTTCTCCTTTCACTTCCTCTTCCGCTACGGTTGCTCCGACGAGCGACGACGTCCTCTTTCCCTCGGCTCATCGACTGCTATTCCTCTGAAAGTTGTCGGCGACGAGTTAATCGGTGCAGCGAGACAACAGATCACGCGATCGTTTCCGGAGTCTAGTTCACTTTCCGTTTCCTCTCGTAGCTTTCTTCCTCTCTCGGCCAGTTTCTCGTCCAGGTAGCCATCTCCTCTCTCTCTCTCTCTCTCTCTCTCTCTCTCTCTCTCTCTCTCTCTCTCTCTCTCTCTCTGTTTCAGAGCTTGATTGATTGTGAGTTTTTCCGTGCTTGTTCGAACAAGATCTTAGTAGCTGACGAAAGGTTTATGTGCATCCTTCTGATTCATTGACGTCTATGGTTTGGGAATATGCGCTGAATTTTGTTTGTTTGCTTGCTTTGTTTCTGGTTTTCAAAGCCGCATTTTATCGAGCAGGTGGGGGATCGTTTCCTGCAAGTTGCCCGGAGACCAGTTCTCTTTCCGTTTCCTCTCGAAGCTTTCTCCCTCTCTCGCCCAGTTTCTCGTTCTGGTAAGCACATTCTCTCTGTCTCTCTTTCTCCTCTCTGTTTCAGAGCTTGATTGGTTACAGTTCTTGAACTATGCACTCCATCTGTTCGTAAGCTATGTCCAAGATTGTGATTCTTTCCTTGCTTTTCCGAACGAGGTCTTAGTAGCTGATGGAAGGTTTATTGACTCATAGACTCTTGAGATTTTGGAATATGCACTGAGTCTTGTTTGTTTGCTTTGTTTGTTTGGACGCCAAGTCTGGTTTTGGAAGTCGCATTTTGTCGAGCAGCTGGGGGATATCTGTGGGTGAAAGAAAATATGTTTCAGTCTCTCAAGATCGACACCGAGTTCGCGGAAGAATCCGATACCGAAATCTTTGATAAACTCATGCAATGGGCGGCACCTGCTGGGCTTCAGGATCTGCGGGTTCGCGGTTCCTCTGGATTTATGAAATATCCTCATTACTCGCAGACTGCTTTCGAATCAATCTCCGCTTGTGCTGCGTCGCTGGAGATACTGCAGTTGGAAGGTTTCAAGTATTCTGCAGCGGTATTTGGGCGGGAGTCCTGGTCTAGTTTCAGAGTACTCAGAGAATTGGTTTTGAACGGAGTCTCCTTTGATTTCTTTGACCAGGAGGAAATTGACCCTTTTGCTGGGTTCCCAGCGTTGGAGCTGTTGAGCCTGATTTCTTGCTGCCGCTGTATTGACCGGGATGTTGATGACCCTCTTACTGATGTTGCCATCTTGGTAGTAAATGGACAACAGTTGCTGACTCTGGAGATAAACAAACCAATTGGTTTCTCCGAGATCAGAGTTTCAGCTGCCAGACTCACATCGTTTACTTTTAAGTTTGCGATTCTCCGTTCTTATCCGATAACAAGAGTCTCCTTGAACGCTCCATCCCTAGAGCATGCAGCTGTCAACTTGAAGGGATACAAAGATTCGACTGTTGACCTGATCACCTGAATGAGGAAGAGGTACAGAATGCTGATGACCTGAATGAAGAAGCGGTACAGACTCGGTATGCAGCGTTAATCTATGGTCTGCGTCGAGCGGAATCTCTTGTCTTCAAATTTGGTACCACCACGGTAAGCTCCCTGGTAACTATATTAGTGCACCAACTCATATCATATCTTACTGCTGCAGGGCATTTATCTAAACTGTTGATCAATGGTCTGTTCGCCATTGCACCTGCCTATGCAAGTTGTTCTTGGTCTTTGATTTTTGTTATGTGGGTCGAAAGAAATCTTATTCTCTTCATGTTGTTTTGGTTTACGCTCTGGTTTTAGGCATTCTGGAGTGCTTGTCAGCTGTTGAGAGGTCGGCCTTCGCCTTTTGGAAGATTGACGTACTTGGCTTTGCGTCATAAGGAAGAAGACATGGCCGTGATAACTGATGATCATGAGGTTGTGATTTCTTACTTCTTCGGCATCTTTGGTCGCAGAGTGGACTGTGGCCATCGAGTTACAGAGGTGGGTCCATCCGTCTAATGAAACCATGCCCTTCTTTTTGAACTCGATATCAAATGTTGGTTTACACCGTATGGATATAATGTGACACTAGATTGTCAATTTGTGATGGGTACTACGTACAGCCTACAAATGTCTTCCTTTTCTCATCACCGTGATCTTCCATGACTAGATTCCTTTGATGGTGAACTAAACTCGATTCATTTTCTTCACGCAGATTACCAGGCTATATCCCCGAACCATCATCCCCAGCAATTGAACATTTTGACGCTGAAAGTCCGATTGGCCCTGTGAGCTCTGAGAAAACTGAGGATGAAGAATTTGTTTTCGCTGTACTTGAACTGATTGGGGAACTTGGGGGGATATGTTGTTAATGCTAGACTTTGTTGTTTCATGGTCCACTTTTCCGATTTGTGATGGTCTTACAGCTACAACATTGAACCTTGGTGGTCTCTCGCTCTCCTTTGGTGTAGTTTTACAGTGAGCTTGAGCTACAGTGGTAAATGAATGAACTTTTCACAGATCATATCAGGATCTTAATTGGAGTTATCGTAGTTAATAGTTAAGATTTTATGAGAATTTTTCACAGATCATATCAGGATCTATGACTGTAATCTAGTGAACGTACTTGAGGTCATGGAATCAACAAGTGTGAAGCTTTACATGAATACTGATAAGTGATATAGGAGACTTGCCCCACAAGCAATGACATCGTAACCGGGCAAAGTATTTCCATTCGGGTCTTCAGGGTAGAACAGAATATCCACCTGGTTGCATTTTCCAAGCAAATGATTCTGGGAAGCCGCTTCGATGATGCTGGGATCGTAGCCGAATAGAAGATGATTCGACAGGAGAAATTTTCCACCATATGCAATTTTACAGGAAATTGCATACATCTTCAGGACGAACTAGTTTGCGTACAATCCAAGACAAGAACGTGGAACTTACCATCTTCTTAATGGTTCTCCAAGGACCAAACCCAGATTGCAGAAAACTATTAATACATGAGGCAGGAACTTCTTCATCAGAACGAGTTAGGCTAAGAACAGTAGAAAGTCAAGACTGGTATATATGCCTCCCTGAGCATTCTATCAGTTTCATCAACCACCTAAAGTAGCTAACTCCTGTTAGTTCACAAGTAACGGTCAAATGTCCACTACTGGGTACAAACCAGCTTCGATTTGGCTATCGCAACTGACCAAACACACTAGAATCAGACAAACTAATCAAAATGATAAAAACTTTAAGAGAGCAGTTGTAAGTGTTAAGAGACCAATCTGACAAATAACACTGCAACTTACCACATAGCTGAGGTGCTCCAGCGTAACTCGTTGCGACCAAAGCTTTCTAATTCCTGTGAAAGATCATCTGGGTCATAGCAGATACCTGCCTCGAACTGAGGTCTCTTAATCAGTTTGGATATTTCATCAGCTACTGAAGATTGCCCAACTGCCAGACCAACAGATAAGCCCACCGGCGAGTTACAGAGGAGGCCGGTGAGATATAAGTGGGCGGACTGATAGAGTAAGAAATGAGTGCCGCGTAGGTGCAGCTTCCTCCCGCCGAAGCGCTCGCGGCGCTTTCTTCTCCGCTTACGGCAACAGCGCAGCGTTATCGAGTTTCCCAAGTTCACTATATAAAGAACCCATTCAGGAAAGCACAAATCGCAATTGGGTGCAGGAATCTTGGCGCAGCTCATGAACAGAATCATTGCTGTGTTGTTTCCCCCGTATTTTGATGCGATCGTCTTGTGTATTTCTGGTTTTTCCTTCGGTTTTTCTGGTACTCAGAATGGCAAGTTCATCGCCGGGTCAATATATCGTAAAAAGTCAAAAAAACGCATAAATATAGCGATATATCATAATATCGCGATATCTCGTCAATTTCAATTTCTCGCGTTTCGATTTTGGTTTTGAGGACCAGAAACTTTTTGCGTTTCGCCCGTTTCTGACGCCCGTTTTCCCGTTCTCGGAGGTTCCCAGTTTTCTCCGGGCGTGTGCCTACCTCGCTCCCGAAACGCTGCCGCATTCCCGGTTCTTCTGGGCCTTTGATTAAATGGAACACAAGCTCTTTTGGGCCTTTGTCAAACGGAAGCCCAGTTTTACCCAGCCTTACTCCCACCTCCTTTATAAAACGCTGCCGGTTATTGTGCCTTCTGGCCCAGAACTTTAGGGGGGCGCTCAGAGGCCTCTAAATGGCGTGGGATGCAGACCACCGCCAAGTGGAATTGCAGAGCAACAGCCAACATAACCACCAGCACGCGAGTCTTACCTTGGCCTTCTAGGACCTCCTACGAAGTCCGCCTCATCCATGTTTATCATGAAACCAATTTCTTGGCTGACTGTCTAGCTCACATGGGGCACTCTATGCCACCATGTAATTGATGTTTCTCATCCCGATACTTGTCGTTGGGCTCTTTTTGACTCGATAAGTGGGTTTCACTGTACGTTCGATTATTGAATAAAAGGTAGTGGGGCTCTGCAGGCGTTTTCATAAAAAAAAATTGCAAAGGAGAAGAATCTCATTTTAAAATCGTGAATGGTGTCCTTTGATTCAAAATCATATTGGTTTCTTGCAATACCAATAATTCGGATTATTATTGAGTACATTAGAAAAGACACCAAAGTTTAGGATCACGACAAATTATATATTTTATGAAATACTATAGAATAGCAAAATCAATCCACACCATGCCTTCTTCATTTGTGGGAATCACAAAATGGTTGAAACTGAGGGTGCGGATAGTATAACAACACTAGAATTGTTGCAGTAACAACAGGGTAAAAGGGTAAATTGACAAAATATCACAAAAATTAAAAAAAATCCAAAAAACAACAAATTAAACTTTCCTCCCCCACTCTCTCCTTCCTCTAACAACTCTTCTCCTCCGGAGCTCTCTCTTCTTCACAACAATCGCAACAGCGACAGCGGTACTGCCAAATCGAGTTCAGGAAGTGCAGAAGCTCAAGAGTATGCTTAGAGGGGCAGCAATTCGCGTCGATGATCAATGGCTCTAAACTACTCCAGTGCGAAGATTTCGATCTCGTGTATTTAGTAGGACTTGAGACTTGATGCAAATGTATTAAGAGTATTTATGATTTCTTCGTATGTAAGTTTCAAGCAAATTTTATTTGAATTTTGAAGTATTTATTAAAGGATATTTATCAAAAGTTTCCCGCAAAATTTCCCGGTCTTGTTAGTTCTCATTATGGTTAACAATTTAATAAGAGTGTTTTGGTAATAGTAGTGTCCGACCGGACTAGGGTGTTACACCCTTCTCTCTTCACTTCCTCCACCGCAAAGTAGCGGAGTACACTAAAGCAAACAGTGGCATAAGAATGCTAGAACTAGGGGTGTCAGTTCGGGTCGGGTGCGGGTACCCGAACCAAAACCTGAAAAACCCGAAACCAAAAACCACTAAAACCGAACCGAACCCGATAAGGACTTGCGGGTTCCGGTTATCCGAAACCCGAGAATTCCTTATCGGGTTCGGGTTCGATTAAAGCAAAATCGAAACCCGAAAATCCGAACGCCTAAGAATACGGGTTAAGTTCTATTCATTGGACGTTTTTAGCCGGAACCCGAAAAACCGATAAGCAAAACCGAACCCGAAACCGAAAAACCGAAAATGTATATATCGGGTCAGTTTCAGGTAAACCCGAAAAACCGAACTCGAATGGACACCCCTAGCTAGAACACATTGCATTTCTCGGATTCGTTACTGCAATTCCCATCAAATGCATAGGTTGGATTGAAATCGTGTTACTCACCGATAGAGTAACAAGCGTCAGAGATCTAGAATCTGCAGCAGGGGAGATGAATGGAGGCGATTTTCGGATTTGCTATTATGGAAGTTGGAGGAACTTCACAGCTCTGCAAAGCCTGAGGTTCTCGGATTTGCAATGGTGGAAGTAAAGCGATGCAAGCAGAAGTGGAGATAAGTGACGTGAAATTAAGGAGAAGAGTGAAAGAGTGATGTAGGATATGTGATCATTTGGGTTGGAGGAAAGGAGACGATTCTGGATGCTAGGTCACCGCTACGACCTCAAAGAAATGAAGCACATGCGATGAGGAGGTGGGATGACGACAAAGGATTTCTTGGGTTCTCAATTTTTGAGTTTTGCTTACTTTTAGATTTTTGTTTAATGAGTGTGGAGGTTGGAGTAGGTTAGCTATATTTTATCAAATAATGGATGACGGTAGAGGAGTACTAGCTTAATTAAATAAATTAGTTATATTTTATTATGTGATAGGTCATAGGTTAGTCCAAATTAACACTTTCGAGCCCGTTCGCAAACTTTAAATGAGCTAGTTCATGAACAAGGCACAACAAACTATCGAGTCAAGCTAGTTCGTGAGCTTTCGAGATGAACATGACATGACTCTAGTTCGGCTCGTTTATTTAACGAGCTTGTTCGTGAGCCAGCTCGTTTTAGACGAGTCGACTCTCGAACGAGTTTTTCTCGAGTCGAACATCGAGTTGTTCATGAGAAGCTTGGTTCATTAACAATCCTAATGGCATCTATATGACAAGTGTGGTTGAGTTGTCGCTGATATGTCCGACGATTTGGCATCCTAGTCAGCTTAACATCCATCTAACTGACGGAGTTTCTAACACTGTTAAACTTTGTAACGAAAATGGCTAGATTTGCAACATCCATCCAAAATTTTGGCTATTATGTGTATTTCTCCAAAAGTGACTATTATTGTCACAGATGCAAAAGTTATGGCTACGTAAGTGTATTTTGCCAGTAAAAGACGAGACAATTTGACCAATTGTCTTATTTTACAAAACGGGTCAATTCGAATTGTCTACCCACCCCAGACAATTGTAATTGTTTCAAAATGAGCAAATTTGAAATCCCCTAGACAGAATTGCTTTATCTAAATTTTGTGATGCCAAACAAATCAATTTGACAAGATTGACTCAAAATGAGACAATTTGACGAAATTGATCCGTTAGAATTCGTCATCCAAACAACCCCTAATAAACCTCTATCTTATGAATCCAAATAGCTCCCAGAACAATATTTTAGATTCATCATTCGATATTATATATTTCTTTTGAAAAGAGGTGATACCAAATATTCTGAAATTGAAAGGCAGAGAAGTTTGCATTGGAATTAGCAGTAGCACATGAAGTGATTCTCAATTGCGAAAACAATGTTATAAATCAAGTGGAAATTGTTGGGCGCTGCGGGTGAGAATAGCAGGTAAATATATTGGATTAAAAAATCACACGCTTGTAAAAAGTTCACAGGTAAATTGGACCTGGCGGCAAGCCTCCAGAATTACGGTAACCAACTTCCTTAGACCAATTTACTTCGGTAATTTAATAACACAATATACTACGACTATTCTCAAAATGACAACAAGCATAGCAGTAATAAATGGCACCGAGGATTTACGTGGTATCCCCTTAACTTAAGGGGGCAGTCCACGGGAACATCAGCTCCGGATATTTCTTCACTATATCAATGGTAGGTTACAGAGATTTTCTACACCGGAAAATAGAACTCACGGTGTTTCCCAAACAACCTCACTATTTTCACTCACAAGAAAATCTCCTATCTACCCAGGTTATGAAAACGTTTCATAACCAAAACCCGCAGAAGAAATATTTACAGGAACAACACAGGAGCAAAGCAAAGAAATACAGAGGACAGGAAGAACTGAGGGATGAATTTTTGAGGCTACTGCCTCTGCCTTTTATAGGCTAGCAAGGAAGAGGGGGCTGCCTTTTTTTTTCTTTCTTTCCACCGAAAGGTGGCTTCATTTTCCACAAAGGAGGCTGCTGCTCCTCCATTTTCTTCTGCCTCCCCCCTTTTTCTTCTTCCCTTTTTGACAAAAGGGGCATGTGGGAGGGCCCAACAATTCTCCCCCGCCCGACTACATGGGAAATTTCATTATCCCAGTCGCTGATCAACAGACTCAAACTCAGTCTGTCACAGAACAGCTGCAGTTGTTCCTGTTGGAACAACACCTTACAAACTTCGGTTGCTACAATGTACTCAACCTCCATGGAAAGAGCTACACAACTTTGTAGCCTTGACTGCCACCATATTGCTCCCCCTGATATCGTAATCAGGTATCTAGAAGTAGACCTGGGGATCCACTTCACAGCTTCCCAGTGTTCCTTCCCCAGCTTGGAAAGAAACACACTAAAAACTCCAACTGTCTGAGCAATACCTGATTTTGTACACACCATGGCATACATCATACTTCCCAATGCTGAAGTACATAAATATGTTCCCATCTCCGCCTTCTCCCCGTCAGTAGGCGGGCACAACTTGGATGCCCACACAAAGTTGTTAGCATGATGACAGCTAACCAACTTAACATCATCCAGGCATGTCTCTTCCTCCAAATCGCCATGAAGGAAGGTGAACACATCCAATTTCTCAACCTCCAGGTTAAGACTTGCTGCTAGTCCCAGCACAGTAACAATGGATGTCATTTTCACAACCAGTGAAAAAATCTTGTCAAAGTCAATGCTCATTCTTTGACCAAAGCCTTTCGTGACTAGTCTCGCTTTGAGATGTGGTTGACGGTTGTGTTCAACGTGCTTCAACTTGAACACCCACTTCTCCAAAGCTCTGCAGCCTTTCGGCAACTCCACCAGCTCAAATCTCTTCTTCTCATACAAGGACTTCATCCCACCTTGCATGGCTCTTATCAGCTTCTGCTTGTGTTCATTAATAGCTTCAACAAAGCTATCTGGTTCTCCCCCGTCAGTGATTATTACAACACTATTCAAATGATATCTAGTAGAGTAACGCACAACTCTACCAGATCCCATCATTTGAATTGGAGAACCGTTCGTGGCTGGTGGTCGACCATCCTCATCAGCAACTTTCAGTTGAACCTCCACGAGAGCATCTGGTTCAACAATCTCCAGCTGATCATGTTGTACTTCCCTCCAACTTCTCTAGGTACCGGTGTTAGAGTCACTAGCCCAAGGCTTGATAGGCTAGTATCACTACAAGGAATTTCAACAACATTCTTGATGGTCTCATCCTCAATGAACAAAGCATCTCTGCTACTGATAAGCTTTGTCTGGGCCAACTTCACCATGGACTTCTCACTCCAGTGACCGAGTTGCTTGTGCCACAATTTGATTGTGTCACCTTTCTCCGCCAAGTTAACAACCTCCGGGGAGATCTTGGCCTCTGTCACATACAGCTTTGACAGCTTCTTGCCCTTGGCCAACACCAAGGAGCCTCTGGTGAGTTTCCACTGGCCATTGTGGAAGGTGTTGCAGTAACCTTCCTCATCCAACTTGTCTACAGAGATGAGATTCAGGCGCATTTCTGGAACATGCCTGACATCCTTCAGCAGTAGCTTCGTACCATTCATCGTCTCCAAGCAGACTTCTCCTTTTCCGATAACTTTGGAAAGATTACCATTTCCCCTTCTTACCACACCAAAGTCACCTGGTGTGTAAGATGAGAAAAATTCTCTCTTGGACGTCACGTGGATGGTAGCACCACTATCAACCACCCAGCTTGTCTCCTGGGCTCTCAGGTTGACCATCTCTTCCTCACAGACAACATTGAACTCCTCAACAGAGTTTGCACAATCATCATCACTGCTATCATCTATTTTGTCCTTCCTTCTCTCTTTTCTGAGTTTTGGACAAAATTTTCTGATGTGGCCCTTCTCCCTGCAGTGATGGCAATAAACATTTGCAAACTTGTTGGCCTTCCCTCGACTTGACTCACTTCTTCCTCTGCTCCAGGAAGCCACTGCCAGAACGTCTGGTTGTGAAGATGATGCACCTTGTGATCTTCTTCGCATCTCTTCATTCAGGACTCCACTTTTGACAGCCTCCATGCTGACAATTCTGTCTTTAGCAGAGTTGGTGAGCGATATCTTCAACGTCTCCCACGATTCTGGAAGGGAAGCCAGAACCAGGAGAGCGATCACCTCATCTTCCATCTTTATGCCCATGCCGGACAACTGATCAACAATCCCTTGAATCTCATTCAAGTGATCCGCCAAGGACGTCTCTTCGTTGTATTTCATCTGCATCAACTTGGTCAGATAAAATAATTTGTTTTTGCCGGTCTTTGATGCATAAAGTCCCTCCAGCTTGCTCCACAGAGTTTTTGCATCATTCTCACGGCAAATGTGGTTGTACACGTTATCATCGACAAACTGTCGAATGAAACTGCACACTTGCTGATGCTCGAACTCCCAATCCTCGTCAGATTTGCCCACAGGTTTAGCCGAGCTAAATACCGGCAAATGCAACTTCGTCACGAACAGGAGATCCTTCATCTTGTTTCTCCAGATGTGATAGTTTGAGCCATTCAAACTGACCATCTTGCTTGTTCTCGCCTCCATCGAACGTGGCTCTGATACCACTTGTTGGGCGCAGCGGGTGAGAATAGCAGGTAAATATATTGGATTAAAAAATCACACGCTTGTAAAAAGTTCACAGGTAAGTTGGACCTGGCGGCAAGCCTCCAGAATTACGGTAACCAACTTCCTTAGACCAATTTACTTCGGTAATTTAATAACACAATATACTACGACTATTCTCAAAATGACAACAAGCATAGCAGTAATAAATGGCACCAAGGATTTACGTGGTATCCCCTTAACTTAAGGGGCAGTCCACGGGAACATCAGCTCCGGATATTTCTTCACTATATCAATGGTAGGTTACAGAGATTTTCTACACCGGAAAATAGAACTCACGGTGTTTCCCAAACAACCTCACTATTTTCACTCACAAGAAAATCTCCTATCTACCCCGGTTATGAAAACGTTTCATAACCAAAACCCGCAGAAGAAATATTTACAGGAACAACACAGGAGCAAAGCAAAGAAATACAGAGGACAGGAAGAACTGAGGGATGAATTTTTGAGGCTACTGCCTCTGCCTTTTATAGGCTAGCAAGGAAGAGGGGGCTGCCTTTTTTTTCTTTCTTTCCACCGAAAGGTGGCTTCATTTTCCACAAAGGAGGCTGCTGCTCCTCCATTTTCTTCTGCCTCCCCCCTTTTTCTTCTTCCCTTTTTGACAAAAGGGGCATGTGGGAGGGCCCAACAGAAATGACAGATCTAGTGATGTTTCTCCTATATCAAAATATGTTTTTTATTACTGAAGGAAGAAGAAAAGAGGAGCAGGTCGTATAGTAATTTCAATTTCAGCAACTAAATTGGCAGCTGGCATATGAGCGTGCTCTCGCTATGAATCCACAAAACCTCCAGACACTCAATCCAATCCCGCCCGGACGACCACCGGAAACACATGATCAACCTCCACCATTACCCGCAGCAACCCCCACTTCCTCTGGCTTCATCCCCAATGGTAACAGAAACCCCCCAACAGCACCCTACTAGAAATCCAACGTTATCCTACAAGAATGCTTTGCAAGAGCAACGTACTTCCAATTTTGGGTAATCCTTCTGAAATCACTGTACACTGATGGACGATCAATTCGTCCATCGCGTGATCGTACGAATTAAAACTAAAATAAACTGAAATACTGATTTATTCTTCTTTGACTGATTAAAACATAGAGACAAAACACATATTTATAGGAATAATCCTACAAACCCTTTACCTCCCGAACAAGGTAAACTAATCCTAGACCAACTCCTAAACAATAACTTCCTTAACAAGAAATAATAACCAAAAGAATATCCAAATAAACAATAATAATAATAATGATCAAAATTAGTTTAATGACCTAGACGGTCAGAAAACGTGCACCCATCAATCCTCCCCCCTTCGAAGAACTTCGTCCCCGAAGTTCAAGCGTCGTCTTAACCCGGATCGATGTGGAAGAAGATTTCCCACTTGTTATTGGCGAAAATGAGTGCTCGACGATGCCGCTTGCAATACTTCCAATTACGTTGCAGCGGCCAAAAGAAGCTCTCACCACCTAATTCTTCAGCTTCTATCGGCTCTTCTCCAACAACACAACTTGCATCATCCCACCTTGGCTGCCCTTGCATCGAATAAGTCCACCAATCTTCTTCCTTCCCACGCATGAAATGAACTCCCTTAAGCACGCCTCCATCCATGCTAAGTACGTAAGTATAAGAAATGGGCGTAACAATGCAAAATTGGCTCTCATGCCACTTCCCCCATATACGACCCAATCCATCCCAAATAGCAACGCACTTTAGCTCCCTCCTTTCAGAAGCAGCTCGAGCTAGGAGTTTGTCCAAAACCCCCGATCCCTCTCGGCTCCCTTCCTCTATCAATCGCCCGAGTTTCCCAGCTCCCGCCGTCTCCTGAACTTGAACCGCGCCGTCTCCGAAACTCTCAGCAGCACCACTACTATTTTCCTCCGACCCCGTTGGCCCACTCGACCAACGCCCTTCCACCCCGCGACCCACGCTCGAGCCCACTCCGTATAAGATCCCATGAGTGAGTCCTCCTATACGTACCCCGAGTCAGTTTCGATGTGCGCCATGTCTGGCCTGTTGATCGCGACCCAACCCTCCATCGAATCGGAACCCGAACTCAGGACGCAAGGGAGCTGATTCCCCCATGCCGAACGCTAGCTGACCGACTCGTTCCCCACCTGCTTCGACGACGAGTTTTCGTCGCGCCGCTCCCGTTGCCGGTAGTGCCAGCTGTTCGAACCGGCAGTTCGGCGTTATCTCCACCGTGCGCATCCCCATCTCTCCTCCTCTGTCTTCATCACTCAAATCGTCACCGTTGTACGATTCTGAGTTGGGTTCGGAACCCTCGCTGCTCCCCTGTCCAGCCCATCCGTACCTGCATACGAGAAGTTCCTCGATCCGTCTTAGGAACGCATGCTGATCCTTTCGCAGTGAGTTCCCCACCTGTTCGAGGCCTCGTCGCCACTCCTTCCGTATCTCGTCGCCCATGCGCTCTATACCCTGATGCACCTCCTTGTGGAACTGCTGAACTTCGACTTGGAGGCCATTCTGTTCGTCCTTGAGAAGTTGGATGTCGGATCGGAGCTAACCCCGCTCCGCTGCTGCCTCGCGCAACTGTTGATTGTGCCCGTCGTTGCTCTTATTCATCTCGCGGAGTTGCATGCGGAAACCTCCCTCCTTGGCTGCAACATCGGTCGATGATGGCGAAGCTACAGTTAGCTTCTTCGTTGCTGGCGCCTCGGTAGGCGATCCGTCCACCTTGTTGTTGTGGAGCACGGTTGCGCACATGACCTCTTCCCGACGTTGGTGGTTGAACGTCAACGATGTTTGCCCTGGGAGCCGGTAAGAGCTTGATTCTTTCGAACCGGGCTCTGATACGAATTGATGGATAATCAATTCGTCCATCGCGTGATCGTACGAACTAAAACTAAAATAAACTGAAATACTCATTTATTCTTCTTTGACTGATTAAAACGTAGATATAAAGTACATATTTATAGGAATAATCCTACAAACCCTTTACCTCCCCGAACAAGGTAAACTATTCCTAGACCAACTCCTAAACAATAACTTCTTTAACAAAAAATAATAACCAAAAGAATATCCAAATAAACAATAATACTAATAATGACCAAAATTAGTTTAATGACCTAAACGGTCAGAAAACGTGCACCCATCATACACCCAAATGACTACATCGATCGTTGGAAGTAGAGGTGGCAAATGGATTGGATCCATGGATTGGTGGATTGGATTGGTGGATCCATGGATCAAATGGATTGGATCCAATGGATTGGTGGATTCATGGATTGGATCAAGTGGATTGGTGGATTATCCATGAATCCAAATGACATCCTCAACCAAGGACCAATATGTAAAATGTAAAAAGTTTAGGTACTAAAATGTCATAATATAAAATTTTAGGTACCAAAACATAATTTTCCAATGATATTTTTTGTATAAAAAATTAAATTTCAGGTACCAAAATGTAAAATATAAAAATTATAGGTATCAAACCGTAATTTGCCATTTGGATCCATGGATTGATCCATGAATCCACCAATCCAATTGGATTTGGATCAAATGGATTGAATTTAAATGGATTGGATTAGGTGGATATTTTTAATGAATTGGTGGATTGGATTGGTGGATTGGATTGAGAATTGCAACCTCTAGTTGGAAGCAAAGACGGGGAGCCGATTCAGTATTACCACAACCAAACGCTGAAGGTTATGTGAGATATTGTTGGAAGAACAATCCGCTTCGACCGCAACACCCTGACTGCTCAACGAGGGAAGTTCGCTCGAATTGCTGTAGAAACAGATGTGTCCAAACCACTAATTTCAAGATTCTGGCTTGATAGATATTGGCAGGAAGTGATGTATGAAAACCTTCCTCAACTATTGCTTTACTCGCGGAAGACTTGGCCAACTTCAAGAGTTCTGCCCAACTCCGTCCATCATCTGATCCTACACCAATTCCTGAAGCGATCACAACTACTCCAACTTCCATAGCTGAAACCTCACCTTCCTTTGGCCCCTGGATGCAAGTCCAGCGAAAGAAGCGACCAAGCCCAAGGCAACAGGGGTTGCATCCAGATCCTAGGTATTGCTGGGTGGGTTGCCAAAGTAGTACGACTATAAAAGACGCGGTTTCGGAGATGCAGCAACTTCAGTCGGACTTGATTCGAGCAATGGATCAACTTGAGCTAAAACTTGGTGCGACTCGTCCACTCCAAGAAGCAATGAGTAGTGTGCTGGATGATGAAATGATCCCTTGTCTGGGAGAGCTGAAGTCCATAGATGAAGCTGCTCTGGAGGTGTTGCCATTAGTAAGAGATGCAAATCATGTACCCATTGGAGTCGTACCCAGCCCGGAGTACCTCAAGGAGTTGGAAGAACGGTAAACAATGCTCAAACCCACTTGTCTCGTATACCCTGATTCTGTAATGAGTATAGAATAACTAGTTGCGATTGTGGTGGATATTAGATAGTTGCTTGATCTTTAGAACTACGGAACACCAAACCGAGTTTTTTGCAAAAAAGATTATGAAGGCCTACAAGGATGAGTATCCGGTTAGTAACCTACCCGCCATGAATAATGTGTGCTTCGATATCGAGATATACAAGGAAATAGATACACTCATTGTTTGTGAATTTCACAAAACTCCAGGCTGTGGTGCTGGAATTGGAGGAAGGGGTAACCAGTAACACAGTGGAGTCTTGTGGCTGTCTCTACGTCCATATCAACTTCAAGGTCAAGGACGTAGATGGATCTGTCCATCTTTTCTTTGCTGAGGCAACTTTTGATTATGACCCTGTAGTGTTGTCGCACTGCATCCTCGAGCGTGGAGATACTGGTACTTCTAACTCTTTGCTTTTCCCCAAAAGAAAAAGATCGTTCCACAGTAAACGTTCTCTCGTCTGTTTTTTAGGAGTATCTTTAATGCCCAATTCAATAGAAAAATGAGAATCACTGGTTTCTTGAGTATTGTTTGACTTGATTATGCTCATGTTTGTTGTTCATAGGTGGTTATGACCATTACCAGAAAGGATGTGGAGGTTGTGATCCTGATGCTGAAGTCCCAATATACCACCCTCGTAGAGATTACCTGCATGGATACTAGTGATGGATGTTTTTGAGGGTTTACATATTAGTAGAGTACCATTTGTAAAAGGATTTATGTATCTTGAATTCCTAAGTCGTGTTGACTACTGATGTGGATTCCAATGCAACACGATCAGGAGATGAAGTAACTTCTGGCCTGCTACTCTCATGCCGATGAATTTGGTGGCGTTCGATTTCATACTTCATGTGAGCAGAATCAGAGTGATGATTCAAACTGTATAAGGAAACTAGAAGATGATAGCAGTCCTCTCATTGGCATTTGCATTGAGAGGATGTTTGGTCATAATTCTTGTGATTCGACGTCGAAAGCTGGTGAGGTGGTCACATTGTTTTTGCATACCCAGAAGGCGGCGAAGGTCACCATTAATTTCTTTGGTTACATAGCAGCAGCAGAGTCAAAAACACTGTCCACGGGCCACGGCTCCAAGCATTTACCAGCAAAAGATGAGGAAATCCGCATTGAGACCACAGCAAAAGACGACGACAACCACATCAACTAAGATGAAACCATCACAATACAGCGTGTGACCCAATAAATCAAGTTTTCTTGGCATGAAAAATCCACCAACCTGACTTTCTAGAACAGAGTCAACCTTCCGTCAAGTTGGAGTAGTTGTGATCGCTTCAGGAATTGGTGTAGGATCAGAAAGTCAGGTTGGTGGATTTTTCATGCCAAGAACACTTGATTTATTGGGTCACACGCTGTATTGTGATGGTTTCATCTTAGTTGATGTGGTTGTCGTCGTCTTTTGCTGTGGTCTCAATGCGGATTTCCTCATCTTTTGCTGGTAAATGCTTGGAGCCGTGGCCCGTGGACAGTGTTTTTGACTCTGCTGCTGCTATGTAACCAAAGAAATTAATGGTGACCTTCGCCGCCTTCTGGGTATGCAAAAACAATGTGACCACCTCACCAGCTTTCGACGTCGAATCACAAGAATTATGACCAAACATCCTCTCAATGCAAATGCCAATGAGAGGACTGCTATCATCTTCTAGTTTCCTTATACAGTTTGAATCATCACTCTGATTCTGCTCACATGAAGTATGAAATCGAACGCCACCAAATTCATCGGCATGAGAGTAGCAGGCCAGAAGTTACTTCATCTCCTGATCGTGTTGCATTGGAATCCACATCAGTAGTCAACACGACTTAGGAATTCAAGATACATAAATCCTTTTACAAATAGTACTCTACTAATATGTAAACCCTCAAAAACATCCATCACTAGTATCCATGCAGGTAATCTCCACGAGGGTCGTATATTGGGACTTCAGCATCAGGATCACAACCTCCACATCCTTTATGGTAATGGTCATAACCACCTATGAACAACAAACATGAGCATAATCAAGTCAAACAATACTCAAGAAACCAGTGATTCTCATTTTTCTATTGAATTGGGCATTAAAGATACTCCTAAAAAACAGACGAGAGAACGTTTACTGTGGAACGATCTTTTTCTTTTGGGGAAAAGCAAAGAGTTAGAAGTACCATTATCTCCACGCTCGAGGATGCAGTGCGACAACACTACAGGGTCATAATCAAAAGTTGCCTCAGCAAAGAAAAGATGGACAGATCCATCTACGTCCTTGACCTTGAAGTTGATATGGAAGTAGAGACAGCCACAAGACTCTACTGTGTTACTGGTTACCCCTTCCTCCAATTCCAGCACCACAGCCTGGAGTTTTGTGAAATTCACAAACAATGAGTGTATCTATTTCCTTGTATATCTCGATATCGAAGCACACATTATTCATGGCGGGTAGGTTACTAACCGGATACTCATCCTTGTAGGCCTTCATAATCTTTTTTGCAAAAAACTCGGTTTGGTGTTCCGTAGTTCTAAAGATCAAGCAACTATCCAATATCCACCACAATCGCAACTAGTTATTCTATACTCATTACAGAATCAGGGTATACGAGACAAGTGGGTTTGAGCATTGTTTACCGTTCTTCCAACTCCTTGAGGTACTCCGGGCTGGGTACGACTCCAATGGGTACATGATTTGCATCTCTTACTAATGGCAACACCTCCAGAGCAGCTTCATCTATGGACTTCAGCTCTCCCAGACAAGGGATCATTTCATCATCCAGCACACTACTCATTGCTTCTTGGAGTGGACGAGTCGCACCAAGTTTTAGCTCAAGTTGATCCATTGCTCGAATCAAGTCCGACTGAAGTTGCTGCATCTCCGAAACCGCATCTTTTATAGTCGTTTTAAGCTTGGCTTTGGGCATCTGAAAACTGTACGAGACAATGGCGAGAAGAAAAAGAAAAATCCCGCGTTGAGATGAAAACAGACAGGAAGTTGTAAATTATTTTGTTCCTTAAGATGCTCAAGAACGGGGAGCCGACGGGTCTCACCTGGATCTTGACGAGGAGATGCAGAGATGAAGGATAATGAGGAAAGTGCGGGCCGGAGTTGGGTATTTGGACTGCCACCACGCTGGTCCTGACGACGGGGTGAAATCGGCGAGAGAGAGGAAAGTGGAGGGGCGGCGAATAGAAGAACGAGATGCAAAGGGCTGGAGAATCGAGATCGGTGGCTTTGCTTCGATTGCAAATCATTAGGGTTTTTGGGGAAAAACCGCACCGTTTGCTAGTGCTCGCATCATAATTCATAAACCGGGTTCCAAAATAACAAGGTTGTCCTGTTCTGGGACCTTCAAATAAATGAAGAGGAAGCTTTCTCGGCCGTTTCGCGTTTCTGTCTGATACCCGTTTCTTTATTTTCCGCGGATGTCTGGTTTTCGCTGGCCCTAGGCCTGGCTCCTTCATGAAACGCCACCGGATTTCCAGAATTTGGGCTTTGGATTAAATAGAGAAGAAGCTTTTTGGGCCCTTTTGTCAAATGGTAGCCCAGTTTTCTCTGACAGTAAGCCTACCTCCCTTCGAAACGCTGCCGTTTCCCTTCCCTGTGCGCCTTCAACTAAATAAAGAAGCCTTTTGGCCTTCGTGAAACTGAATCCCAGATTTTTGAATCTGTTCGTCACTTCTCCCCTGTTATGTTATCCCCATGAAATTTTCAGCTTGGAAGCTTCATATTCTTTCCTTCGCCATACCTATTCAGATGCTGAAAGAGTAGAAGTCATAAGCACAACATTAATCAAAGATGTTGTATATTGTTACACATCCATTCAAATTCCTTGGGGGACGTATATTGATCATAGTCTGACCCGACTCAGACTCGTAATCCACGAAAGTGAACGTCTTCAGGCATTGAAGCTAACGTTGTCATGGTTTCGTCAGCTGCTTCTTGATATAAGCAAGGATTCCCTCCACGTCCACCGTCCATGCAACTTCCACCGGCGAGTATATATCCGGTCCATGGGTTGCTTGTATTCCACCTAAAACCATAATCACACCAGTCAAAGGGTGTTTACTGTGCTGACTGAAATTTCCAAGAGGAAGGAATGATTATGGTTCAAATTTTAGAGAGTTGGCCTACCTTTTAAGGCCTTGGTCCATTAGGGTGTGGCCAATGCAGATGCCCTGAGTCTTCACCCTCACTACGCCATTCCGGTACGTGAAGAGATCAGGCCGAAGTACCGCCATAATGGCTGGAGAAGTCGAGATATTTCTCTTCCTGTGCACATAGAAGACGTGCCCCACAAGCAATCACATTGCAGCCAGGCAAAGGATCCTCGTTCATGTCTTCTGGGTAAAATCGGATATCCACCTGCTTGCTTTTTCCAAGCAACTGATTCCGGATAACTGCTTTGAGGATACTGGGATCATACCCAAATAGAAGATGATTTGACTGGAGAAATTTTCCACCATAAGCACTGCCACCAAAGTAGCAGTGATGGAGGGCTTGGGAATCGGGTCCTTGGGTGCTGAAATGAAATGTACACTTGAGTTGAACACCAGATTCATAGAAATGTTCCTCGAATGCCAGAACAGCACAGATAGTTAAGCCAGCGAATCCGTCGCTTGTCCAATTTGAAGGCAGCTGCATAACTAGCGAATGTCCGGAACTATGATGGTTAAACCACTCAGGAACTTTACCCCCAGGACAGCAGAAGGTCGATTCCACAGCTGGTAGAAAAGACATCTGTCACATGGAAATCGCAACGGTCACAAGAATGTGCATCAAGCTGGCAAAAGATGAGGAATGAAGACTTTTGTAGGCATACCTGATTACGTAGACCTTTACTATAGTGCTGAAGCTTGAGCAGAGCATATGCCAAGATGTTCTTGCATGCAATCTTGTCCAAACTGAAGCAATTAGTGAAAGAGAAATCAAAGGAGTTCATGTGATCTGCAGAGTATATGGATACTCTAGCCAATGATTGGCAGTTATCTGCTTCCAACTTTGACAGCATGGTTGGGAGTTCCGGTAACGTGACAAGCCTTCTGCAGTTCTTTACACTGAGTTGTTGCAGCTGAGAGAGTCCTTTCATGCCAAAAGGTAGGCGATCAAACATATTTCCACTTAGATCCAATACTTCCAGTGAGGTCAAGGCACAGAGACCGTCAGGCACCATTGATATATTGCAATCATTTAGAGAGAGCCTAAACAAGGACTTTGAAGTAGCATTCCACCAGCCAGCAATATTTACAAAATATAGTAAGTGTCGCAGGCTTAGTTTTCTGCAGTTTCCTAGTTCCATCATAGAGAGGTTCTCCAGGTTCTCCAAGTCATTTACCACAGGAAAGTTGCGTATTGCAGTTCCATCCAGATAAAGGTATCTAAAAGATTTCATAGGCTCCCTGATAGCTGGGAACTTCTCAAATTTGGAGCAACCCGAAAGATTTAGCTTCTGAAGAGATTTCAACTTACATATATGGCTTGGGAGTACACGGAAACTTTTGCAGTTCTGTAAATGCAATTCAACAAGTTGAGAAAGGTGCTCAACAGATGACGGTATTTCTTCTATTCCTGTTTCATCCAAATACAACTCCTTTATCTTCCTTGAAATTTTGGGGAATTGTCTGATACTTGAGCAACCCCGTAGAATCAGCTTTTCAAGAGAGTTTGCCTCAGAAAGTGTATCGGGAAGATTCTTAATCCTTTTGCAGTTTGTCAAATCTAAAGAGGAGAGTTTAGAGAGATTACCGATCCAGCAAGGAAGTATTACTATTGCTGTTCCACTCAAGTACAAGTACTTTATACTCTTTGCAATGGATGGCAATGACGTGATACTTGAGCAGCCAGAGAAATCAGCAATTGCAAGAGATTCCAACAGAAACAGGTTGCTTGGAAGGCTGTGTAGTCGTTTACAGCCCTTTAGATTCAAAGCAGCAAGTCTACTGAGTTAAGCAATTGATTGGGGAAGTTCTTCTATTTCCGTATCGTTCAAATTTAGATAGGCTACACTCCCCATGATTTCTGGGCACTTCTGAAGGTTTGAACAGCCAGAAAGGTTAAGGGTCTTGAGAGATTTGACATTTAGGCACTCTGGGAGACCTGTAAGGCTTGAGCAACCTCTTAGATCAAAATCAGTAAGCTTGACAAGATGCTGAACTGACGATGGAAGTTTCACCATACTTGTACAGTTAGCCAAATTCATTATCTCAAGATTTAATGCTTGAGACATGTCTGGGATGGCATTTAGATTCTTACAATCACTTAGGTCAACCTCTTTCAAATTCACCAAAGCCTGTAGTACAACAGGAAAAAGATTAGCAAGTGGACTACAATTCATCCAGGAACGAGATGTACAACGACATGATCAACTTTGAAATATACCTGCACTCCTCCCCACAGTTGCTTAATGTTGCTGTAAGCCAAGTTAATGTGAACAAGGTTTTCAGCACGGAAGTTAAATGGAAAAGTGCTGAGAGGATATCCATCCCAATGAAGATACCTCAACTCATCTGGAAGGGACTCTAGCCCAAATGGGAGGCGGACCTTATATGATCCATCCCTGGCCCCATGATTATAAATTTTCAGTAATCGTAGATTATGCATCCTTGAAAATGCTTGACAACTCAACTCCATGTGACTGATTTCAGAAACGTCTAAGAAGATCCCTTCAACCTGCTCAGTTCCCTGGGGAAATCAACAAGGTAAACCGTGTAACTGCATGTGGTGCTTCTGAGGTGAATTGGAGACAGGGAATAACGAATCAACAGAAATACTTGTACCTGATTTCTTGTCAAAACTCGATAGACATCATTGGGCCTCCATAATCTACTTCGCTTACCTAGATCTTTGACAGACTCCTGGCGGACAACTTCATGAGCCATTTCTTGCAATAAATCATGTATCCATATCCTGTTTTCTGAAACAGTAATGAGGCACTTATCAGTGAGCACACAAATCCCAGCGTCTGTCCCAAAACCACAGCCATCTAGTATTCCCTTTACAAAATCAATCTTTTGCCCGTTAAAGAAACAAGCAACATCAAGAAATAGGCTCTTCTCTTCATCAGCTAATGCATCAAACTAATCATCAATACATCATAAATTTCAGGCCGAATAGTTCTTTGGAGTTGAGCCAGCGCACTTTCCCAAAATCTCTGTGTTCTGTCCAAAAAGAAGGAGCCTAAAACTTTAATGACTAATGGGTTTCCTTGTGAATAAGTAACCACCCTACTTGATTGCTCCACAAAATCTTCTTTGGGGCAGTTCCCCTTAAAAGCTCTGTAGCAGAAAAGAAGAAGGGCTTCATCATGATCTAATCTTTCAACCTCATACATCTCACCCACCCAGCTCTTAAGCACTTGCTTATCTCTAGATGTTAAAATTACTCTACTTCTAGGACCAAACAGGTCAGTGGACCCAATAAGGAATTCCACTTGAGACACATCATTCACATCATCAAGAACAAGCAAAACCCTTTTACGCCTGATCCTATCCACGGTGAAGGTAGATCCTATAGTGATCATGGTGGAGGAATGCTTATTTGGATCCTCCAATAGTTGTCCTTTCAAGTGAACAAGTCCATGCCTCTTTGATTCTTCCCGAACATTTGCAAGTAAGCAGCAACCTTCATATTGAGCAAAGATATCACTGAAAACAGCTTCAGCAATAGTGGTCTTTCCTACACCACCCATGCCCCATATACCCAGAAAACGAACATCCGAAGACTGCATATGCACAGCGCTTTAACTCGTCCGACTCTTGACTCGATTCCCACCAAACCGTTAGAGTAACCACGCGGTGCACGGGTCAGTTTCTTCAAAATATCATCCACAATTTCATTTACTAGTCTGGATTCAGGCCTAACAACAAACATAGAGATGGATATTTGTAAGCCAATACCCTCACGTACCAATCAAGAGTTAATACTTAATAGACAATGGTAACTGAAATTTCTGTTACAGAACCATCATGAATCAAATCCAATATTCAGAATCATGAAACTGTGATTTTCAGGCACAAAGGAGTCCATATGAAGAGAGTGGGAAAGTTACCTGATGACTTGAGAGTCCCATCCAGATACATTAGCTGCTTTAGTAAGCTCACTTCTCCAGCTTGGCACCTTATCCATTTTGACCTTGAAATTCAGCTCAAGCACAGAAATTGCATCTGCGAAGCTCCCAGTCTGCTGCTCCACATCAGATGGATCCACGTGATAGAAAACAGGCAAAACAACCTGCCCATACCTCTCCCTGCAATCAAGAATTTTCACCAGCTCATCCACACACCAGGCAGAAGCAGCGTAGTTCTTGGAGAAAATCACAACTGAAATTCTCGACTCTTCGATTGCCTTCAACAGCGAAGGAGTAATTTCCTCTCCTCTTTGCAGATTGTCATCGATGAAGCACTTGATTTTCTTGCGGCACAGGGCTTCGAAGAGATGGCTCGTGAAATTATCACGAGTGTCCTTGCCTCTGAAACTAAGGAACACATCGTATTGCATCTGACCACGAGAATCAGCGACAGAATTAGCAGCAGCAGAAGAAGACGAAGCAGCCATGGATGGCAGCAGAGCCCAATTCAGAGATTATAATGGATAAAAATTAGCGCGAGAGGAAGTCATCCTCTTCTTCCGTCATCAATCGAATAAGACAGGGGAGAAGTAAACTTTGTTGAGTTTGTTCTTTCCTTCTTTCCGGTTCTCGTTTCATCCGGTTTATGCCCATGCTAAACCCTAGTGGCCTAGCCCCGACGCTGAAGAACAGAGAAAAACCCCTTCAAATACGCCACTCGAAAACCTACAACCACACTCATATAAATCCGCCTCTATATTTTCCTCTTTCCATCAAAGCTATGAAATTCCCCTGCTCGCCTTCCCTCCTCAACTTCTGTTCCCTTCTTGTTTTCTCTTGCGATGGTGGACTTCTTTTCCAGACCCACCATTGAAGAGGACCCCAACAATCCAGCTTCCCCTCCTCCCCATACCAGCGAAAAGGAGTCCCTCGGCGACCCCAAGCTCGTTGATTTGTCTTTGGCCGATTCATTCCTCGATTTCGACTCCATCAAGGAGCTGTTTGAGGATAACTTGCTGCTGGATGCCACTAGCTTAGACAAGGTGGATATTCGGGATTTTGAGCATATGTTTGGGATGGATTGTGAAGTTCCTACTGTTGGTGAGCGAATGGTGGATGGGTCTCATTCAGTTTCTGTTGATACTCAGCTGATTGAAGCAGGCTCGGATTACAGGGGGCAGGTAAAGAAGGAACCTTTGGAGTTGCAGAGTGGGGATATTCTTCGCCGCTCTATAGAGGCGGAAATAGGAAGAGTAAGTTTGGTTGGCAATGGCGATGACGATGGGGTTGTTGATGTGAAGTGTGAAGCAGAGATAAGGGAGGCACCTGCGGAGAAGGAATTTCTTAGCTCTGTAGCGGTGAAGATCGAGGCAACCGGTGATGGCGTAGAGGCTCCTAATGTTGGCAGCTTGATCAGCTGCCCGAGCTCTGCCGTTGATACTGGGGGTGGTGTGGTCAGTTTTACGAATGGCGTTGAAGGTGATTCGGATTCTGACGGCGAAAGTAGCTCGTCAGATTCTAGCTCATCATCATCATCCGACTCTAGCAGCAGTGATGACGAGGAAGTGGAGGAGAAAAAGGATAGTTCGATTCTGAGAAGGGACCTTAAGTTGGAGGTGGTAAAGCAAGTGACTGAAGTTGAGATTGCAGAGGGTGAGATGGAAGAGGGTGAAATAAGAGATGGTTATGGAGATAATGTGGTAGGTGGAGGTGAAGATAAAGATGATGACGATGACTATGACGAGACCGAGACCGAGACTGAGGTTGAAAAAATGGTGGAATGGAGTGATGTTGATGATGAAGATGATGCCGATGTTGGTGTTGAGAAGGGCCCTATTAGATCAAAGAACGAACTGCAGGTGAAATGCGATGTGAATTGCCTCTTTACAATTTTTTGTTTCCTGAAATGGTGAAGTCTTTACATCACAAGAGAACTAGAGTCTTGGTAAACTAAAAAGTTTTGGCTTTTTTCTTGCTTGCTGGATGTATTATACGCATGAAATAGTTTTGTTTTTCAGTTGATATTGAATGAAAGGTTGACCATGTTTTTGAAACTTGCGGAATCGGTTTAGGGACATGCTCTCTAACTTGACAATTTTCTTTCATGAAATGATAGGAGGATACTGTTGTAAGTTTGAGGCTTTTTCTTCATTAGTATTGTTCCTCTTCTATTCGAAATCTCTAGTAATGAAATTTTAATCGATAATGTGATTGCACTTAACATTTCCTCTCACATTTTCAGGTCCTACCACATGTTCCTCCTGTCAATGCTGTGCTGCTACCCCATCATCAGCCACAACCTGTTGGACTTATCTCATCTGTAAGAACTTGTTGGGCTTACCTATTCTTTTAACTGCATATACTGTTACCTTGAGGTTTTCTGGTTTTGAGGACAATTGGGTTTTAAGGAAGATGATCGGTTTTTGGCATATCAGGTTCTTGGTACACAAGTCATTGTAGAAGGGGCTGAGAAGCACAACCCTCTGAATGAGGGTTCTATCCTTTGGTTAACTGAGAAACGATCTCCACTCGGGCTGATAGATGAAATATTTGGACCTGTGAAGAACCCATTTTATATAGTGAGATTCAATTCTGACAGTGAGGTTCCCGAGGGCATTTGCGAAGGTTCTCTAGTCTCCTTTGTTCCTGAGTTTGCTGACTTTGTCCTGAGTGACCAAAGCCTGTACAAGAAAGGATATGATGCATCTGGTGAGAATGATGAGGAACTGTCCGATCCGGCCGAGTTTTCAGATGATGAGAAAGAGGCAGAGTACAGGAGGATGCAAAAAATGGCGAAGAGGGGTATGAATAATGGCCAGGAAGTTGTCAACAATAAGAAAAGGAATAAAAAGAAGGTTGAAGATAGGCAAGAAAGGGATTGGAAGAACAACAGCAGCAACAGTAACAGTAACAACAAACCTCCATGGCGGCAACCTCGAATGGGCACTAATCAGAATCCACACAATGGAAATCAGTATAATCTGCCTCCACCTCCAGCTCCACCGAGTAATAATGGAAATGCTTTTGTTCCACCCTTCCCGCCAATGTTGCAGCAGCAGAACCCTGGGAATTTTCCTGGGAATTGGCCGAATGGGGTATTTCCTCAACATCAACAGAATCCAGCAGCGCCAAATTTTGGTGGTTTCCATCCTCTTCCTGGTAACATTCAGAATGCACTGCAGATGGTGATGCAGCACATTATGCCATTTCCGCAGCAGTTCAACCCTGGCCAGGGGTCACTTCCTGCTAATGTAATGCCATCAGGGCAGCCACCCAATTTCTTCCCTGGCCCTGGTTTCATGCATTGGCCAGCAGCAGCACCTGGAGCAGGAGTTATGAACCAAGGTTGCTTTAACCAATCTCCATTTGGGATAGGCTTTTCGCCTCAACCAACCAACCCAACCATGAACATGGGAGACCAAGGAATGAGGGATGTTAATGGCAGCGCGCAGTCATCGTTAAACAATTATGGTAACAGCAGTCAGTCTCCTCTTCCCCAGAGACCTGGAAATAGTCTCAGCAGCCAGCCACCTCAGAATTTCAACGCTGGTGGAGTGGGCTTTCTGCCTCAACCAACCAACCCAACCATGAACATGGGAGACCAAGCAACGATGGCTGTTAATAGCAGTGCGCAATCATCAACCAACATCCCTGGCAGCACCGGTCAGTCTCCTCAGCAATCGGGAAATAGTTTCGGGAGCCAGTCGCGTCAGAATTTCAATGTGGGTTCTGGTCGCGGAAGGAAACCCTTTCATCGCAGAGGTGGTCAGTTTGGAGGTAGGGGAGGTAGATAGTCTCACCTGACTGACTATGTTCCTTGTTGTAAGATCATGGCTATTGTTTGTTGTTTTACTTTTATTGAGAACCTAGTGCTTTTTATTTTTGAAGTTATCAATGACTCGAGTTTTGGGTGTAAACAAAACAAACTCGGGCTTGAAGTGTTCCATTTTGTATATGGTTTCCTCTCTCTTCAACTCCTGTTTATTGATGAGAAGCGCATTCATTCAATCATGTTGCTACACTGTCTGTCAGTTGGAGCAGCTGTGTGGCCGAGTTTTGTGTTTTGTTTTACAGGGACGAACAGCCTCAGGTAGAATCTGCAAAGTGTAGCTTAGCTTTCAAAATTCGGGTAGAATGCTTAGCTTTCAAAATTAAGAAAACTGACCTTTCGAAAAATTCGTCAGGAATCTGTGATGATATCCGTTTGGATTCTACCAAAAATTACCTCGGAAAAAATATGTCCAAATTGGGCTTAATAAACATACTCCTCTTTTGTATCCATCTACTGTAGCAAGTTAACAAACATATCCCTCTACTATTATTTCGCACAAACGTAACTCTCTATTATAAAAATATAATTAACGCATCATTCCATTCGAAATTCCGTTAGTTGGCCGTTAAATTAATATACAATGGCCAAATTATTCCTTACTTATTAAATAATTATTTACGTTTTTGCAACGGAAATTAAACATAAAACAACTTGCCATACAACTAATTTTTGCATCTGCCATTGACATCGAGAGTTTGCACTGACATCCATGTTTTATTATCGTTGCAAAAACGTAAATAATTATTTATTAAGGGATAATTTGGACATTTTATACATATTTAACGGCAACTAGCAAAATTTTGTATGGAAGGCTGCGGTAGTTACATTTTGATAATAGAGATTTACTTTTGTTCGAAATAATAGTAGAGTAGAGGGGTATGTTTGTTAACTTGCCATAGTAGATGGATATAAAATGCTATTAACTCTTAAGTTTATTAAACATCAATTTGAGCGTATTTTTCTCGAGGTCATTTTTTGGTAGATTCCTAAGGGATACCATCACAGATTTATGACAATTTTTTCAAAATGTCAGATTCCTTAATTTTTAAAGATATACATTACAGATTCGACCTGTGACTATTCGTCCCTGTAAAACAAAACACAAAACTCGGCCATAGAGCTGCTGCAACTCACAACATGATTGAATCCTATCGATCCTATTCTCCACCGACGACCAAGTCTCTTAAGCACCAAATTGAGCCAATTTATTTTGGAATGACATTTTCGTATTTTTTGGGCGATTATTTTTTCGAAAGACAATTTTCTTTGGATTTGAAGGCTACAATTTTGCCCTGAGGCTATTCTTCAACAATGATTAAATCCATTAAGCACCGATTTAGGCGAATTTCTTCCTGGTCCATTTTTTGCAGATTCGAAAGGGGTACCATCACCGATTTCGGCGATTTTTCCGAAATGCCATTTTCTTTTTATTTTGGAGGCTACAGATCACGGATTGAGCACGACGCTATTCTACATCGATAATGAAGTCTATTGATCCTATTCTCCACCGTTGATTATGTCCATTAGGCACCGAATTGGGACAATTTTTTTTGGATGACATTTTCTGAATTTTTTTGGAATTTTTTTCCGAAAGGTCGTTTTCCTTGATTTTTGAAGGCCACTGATCATGGATTCGGTCTGAGGCTATTCTTCAACGATGATTAAGTCCATTAAGCACCGATTTTGGCGGATTTCTTCTGGGTCTATTTTCGGTAGATTCTAAAGGGTATCATCACCGATTTTGGGCGATTTTTCCGAAATGTCATTTTCTTTCGATTTTGGAGGCTACAGATCACGGATCAGCCTGAGGCTATTCTCCACCGATAATGAAGTCTATTGATTTTATTCTCCACCCATGATTAAGTCCATTAAGCACCAAATTGGGCCAATTTTGTTTTGTGATGACATTTTCATAATTTTTTGGCGATTTTTATTTGAATGACCATTTTACTTGGATTTTGAAGGCTATAGATCAAGGATTCGGCCTAAGGCTATTCTTCAACGATGATTAAGTACATAAGCACCGATTTGAGCAGATTTCTTCTAGATCCATTTTTGACAGATTCCGACGGGGTACCATCACCGGTTTTGGGTGATTTTATCGAAATGCTATTTTCTTATGATTTTGGAGGCTACAGATCACTGATAAGTCGGATGCTATTCTCTACCGATAATGAAGTCAATTGATCTGATTCTTCCCCGATGATTAAGTCCATTAAGCACAGAAAAATTTATCTTGGATGACATTTACGTAGTTTTTTGGGCGATTATTTTTCGAAAGGTCGTTCTCCTTGATTTTTGAAGGCTACTTATCACAGATTCGGCTTGAGACTATTATTCAACGATGATTAAGTCCATTAAGCACCGATTTTGGCGAATTTCTTCTGGCTCCATTCTTGGCATATTCAAAAGGGGTACCATCACCGATTTGGGAGATTTTTGCGAAATGCCATTTTCTTTCCATTTTGAAGGCTACAGATCACGGATGCAGCCCGAGCCTATTTTCCACCGATAATCAAGTCTATTGATCCTATTCTCCACCGATGACTATGTCCATTAATCATCAAATTAGGCCAATTTATTTTGGGATGTCATTGTTGCAATTTTTGCAGATGCTATTTTCCTTGGATTTTGAAGGATAAAGATGGTGGATTGAGCCTGAGGCTAATCTTCAACGATGATTAAATCCATCCAGGGCCAATTTGGGAGGATTTCTTCCGGGTCCATTTTTGGCAGACTCCAAAACGGTACCATCACAGATTTAGGGCAATTTTTCCGAAATGCAATTTTCTTTCGATTTTGGAGGCTAGAGATCACGGATTCGGCTCGAGGCTATTCTCCACCGATAATAAATTCTATTGATCCTATTCTGCGTCGATGAATAAGTCAATTGAGCACCGAATTGGGCGAATATATTTTGGGATGTCATTTTCGTAATTTGTTGAGCAATTTTTTTTCGAAAGGCCATTTTTCTTGGATTTTGAAGGATAAAGATGGTGGATTCGGCCTGGGCTATTCTTCAACGACGATTAAGTCCATCCAGGGCCAATTTGGGCGGATTTCTTTCGGGTCCATTTTTGGCAAACTCCAAAGGGATACGATCACAGATTTCGGGCGATTTTTCCGAAATGCCATTTTCTTTTGATTTTGGAGGCTACAGATCCTGGATTCGGCTGGAGGCTATTCTCCCTCGACAATAAAGTCTATTGATCCTATTCTGCGCCGAGGATTAAGTAATTTAAGCACCGAATAGGGCCAATATATATTGGGATGGCATTATCATAATTATTTGAGCAATTTTTTTCTAAAGGCCATTTTCCTTGGATTTTGAAGTATAAAGATGGTGGATTCAGCCTGAGGCTATTCTTCAACGACGATTAAGTCCATCCAGGGCTAATTTGGGCGGATTTCTTCCGGGGCCATTTTTGGCAGACTCCAAAGGGGTACCATCACAGATTTAGGGCGATTTTTCCGAAATGCCATTTTCTTTCAATTTTGGAGGCTACAGATCACGGATTCGGCACGATGCTATTCTCCACCGATAATAAAGTCTATTGATCCAATTCTGCGCCAATGATTAAGTCAATTAAGCACCGAACTGGGCCAATATATTTTGGGATGGCATTTTCGTAATTATTTGAGCAATTTTTTTCAAAAGGCCATTTTTCTTGGATTTTGAAGGATAAAGATGGTGGATTCGGCCTCAGGCTATTCTACAACAACGATTAAGTCCATCCAAGGCCATTTTGGGCGGATTTCTTCCGGGTCCATTTTTGGCAGACTCCAAAGGGGGTACCATCACAGATTTCGGGCAATTTTTCCGAAATGCAATTTTATTTTGATTTTGGAAGCTACAGATCCCGGATTCGGCTCGAGGCTATTCTCTATCGACAATAAAGTCTATTGATCCTATTCTGCGCCGATGATTAAGTCAATTCAGCACCGAATAGGGACAATATATTTTGGGATGGCATTTTCGTAATTATTTGAGCAATTTTTTTTCGAAAGGCCATTTTTCTTGGATTTTGAAGTATAAAGATGCTGGATTCGGCCTGAGGCTATTCTTCAACGACGATTAAGTCCATCCAGGGCCAATTTGGGCGGATTTCTTCCGGGTCCATATTTGGCAGACTCCAAAGGGGTACCATCACAAATTTAGGGCGATTTTTTCGAAATGCCATTTTCTTTCGATTTTGGAGGCTACAGATCTCGGATTTGGCTCGAGGCTATTCTCCACCGATATAAAGTCTATTCATCCAATTCTGCGCCGATGATTAAGTCAATTAAGCACCGAATTGGGCCAATATATTTTGGGAAGGTATTTTCGTAATTATTTGAGCAAATTGTTTCGAAAGGTCATTTTCCTTGGATTTTGAAGGATAAAGATGGTGGATTCGGCCTGAGGCTATTCTTCAACGACGATTAAGTCCATCCAGGGCCAATTTGGGCGGATTTCTTCCGGGTCCATTTTTGGCAGACTCCAAAGGGGTACCATCACATATTTCTGGCGATTTTTCCGAAATGCCATTTTCTTTCGACAGATTACAGATTCGGATCGAGGTTATTCTCCACCGATAATAAAGTCTATTGATCCTATTCTACGCGGAAGATTAAGTCAATTAAGAACTGAATCGGGCCAATATATTTTGGGATGGCATTTCGTAATTATTTGAGCAATTTTTTCCGAAAGGCCATTTTCTTTGGATTTTGACGGATAAAGATGGTGGATTCGGTCTGAGGCTATTCTTCAACGACGATTAAGTCCATCCAGAGCCAATTTGGGCGAATTACTTCCGGGTCCATTTTCGGCAGACTCCAATGGGGTACCATCAAAGATTTAGGACGATTTTTCTGAAATGCCATTTCCTTTCGATTTTGGAGGCTACAGATCACGGATTCGGCTCGAGGCTATTCTCCACCGATAAAAAAGTATATTGATCCTATTTTGCGCAGATGATTAAGTCAATTAAGCACCGAATTGGGCCAATATATTTTGGGAAGGTATTTTCGTAATTATTTGAGCAAATTGTTTCGAAAGGCCATTTTCCTTGGATTTTGAAGGATAAAGATGGTGGATTCGGCTTGAGGCTATTCTTCAACGACGATTAAGTCCATCCAGTGCCAATTTGGGCGGATTTCTTCCGGGTCCATTTTTGGCAGACTCCAAAGGGGTACCATCACAGATTTCGGGCAATTTTTCCGAAATGCCATTTTCTTTCGACAGATTACAGATTCGGATCGAAGTTATTCTCCACCGATGATAAAGTCTATTGATCCTATTCTACGCGGAAGATTAAGTCAATTAAGCACTGAATTGGGCCAATATATTTTGGGATGACATTTCGTAATTATTTGAGCAATTTTTTTCGAAAGGCCATTTTCCTTGGATTTTGACGGATAAAGATGGTGGATTCGGCTTGAGGCTATTCTTCAACGACGATTAAGTACATCCAGGGCCAATTTGGGCGGATTACTTCCAGGTCCATTTTTGGCAGACTCCAAAGGGGTACCATCACAGATTTTGTGTGATTTTTCCGAAATGCCATTTTCTTTCGATTTTGGAGACTACAGATCACGGATTTGGCTCGAGGCTATTGTCCACCTATAATAGAGTCTATTCATCCTATTCTGCGCCGATGATTAAGTCAATTAAGCACCGAATTAGGTCAATATATTTTAGGATGCCATTTTCGTAATTATTTGAGTAATTTTTTTCGAAAGGTCATTTTCCTTGGATTTTGAAGGATAAAGAAGGTGGATTCGGCCTGAGACTATTCTTCAAAGACGATTAAGTCCATCCAGGGCCAATTTGGGCGGATTTCTTCCGGGTCCATTTTTGGCAGATTCCAAAGGGGTACCATCACAGATTTAGGGCGATTTTTCCGAAATGTCATTTTCTTTCGATTTTAGAGGCTACAGATCACGGATTTGGATCGAGGCTATTTTCCACCGATAATAAAGTCTATTCATCCTATTCTGCGCCGATGATTAAGTCAATTAAGCACCGAATTGGCCCAATATAATTTGGGAAGGTATTTTCGTAATTATTTGAGCAAATTGTTTCGAAAGGCCATTTTCCTTGGATTTTGAAGGATAAAGATGGTGGATTCGGCCTGAGACTATTCTTCAACGACGATTAAGTCCATCCAGGGCCAATTTGGGCGGATTTCTTCCGGGTCCATTTTTGGCAGACTCCAAAGGGGTATCATCACAGATTTCGGGCAATTTTTCCGAAATGCCATTTTCTTTCAATTTTGTAGGCTACAGATCACGGATTTTGCTCGAGGCTATTCTCCATCGATAATAAAGTCTATTCATCCTATTCTGCGCCGATGATTAAGTCAATTAAGCACCGAATCGGGCCAATATATTTTGGGATGGTATTTTCGTAATTATTTGAGCAAATTGTTTCGAAATGCCATTTTCCTTGGATTTTGAAGGATAAAGAAGGTGGATTCGGCCTGAGACTATTCTTCAAAGACGATTAAGTCCATCCAGGGCCAATTTGGGCGGATTTCTTCCGGGTCCATTTTTGGCAGATTCCAAAGGGGTACCATCACAGATTTAGGGCGATTTTTCCGAAATGTCATTTTCTTTCGATTTTAGAGGCTACAGATCACGGATTTGGATCGAGGCTATTTTCCACCGATAATAAAGTCTATTCATCCTATACTGCGCCGATGATTAAGTCAATTAAGCACCGAATTGGCCCAATATATTTTGGGAAGGTATTTTCGTAATTATTTGAGCAAATTGTTTCGAAAGGCCATTTTCCTTGGATTTTGAAGGATAAAGATGGTGGATTCGGCCTGAGGCTATTCTTCAACGACGATTAAGTCCATCCA